GTTGCATACTGGTCTGTTTGTTCTCTAGCTTGTGGTTGTACTGAGTTTCTCAAAGCGAACCATTCATAGTTTGCCCATGTTACTGTTTGAACTAAGTCAGAGTTAGAATATATCTTATATCCCATGAAAACTTCTGGAGCATATTGGTATCCGACATAGAAAATTCCATTGCAACCTTTCTTGTCAGACAACTTGGCAGAAGGTTTTATTTCAATGTCTTGTTCCACGTATAAGAATGAGTTGTCAATAGAAATAATATGAAACCTGTCGCAAGCAATATCTACTGTTGTTGAAGAACCTTCTCCAAACTCACCTACGTTTCCATAAGAAACAGCAGTTGTATATTCGTAAGTTCCAGGAACTATTTCTGACCTTCTAATGGCATTGTCGCATTCGTTATACCATTCGGAAACATTTCCATTCATGGCATCCAAAACTGTTGGCGTTATATTCTGAGCGGCGTACATTTCATATGAGTAAAAAATATAGAATAGTTGGATTTATATGTCATAATAGAACCCACTCCGACCAAGCTTTACTTTCTTCCTGACTGAGTTTTTAACTCTTCTTTTTCCTTCATTGCCCTCTGCTTGAAGTTGTTGCATCTTTGCATTATGTTCATCTAGTATGTTGCAAATTTCCCATGTCCTTTTTGCCTTTTGGCTCTGGTCGCCCATCTCAGGTAACCTATATCCTAGAAAGAGTTTGTCATAGTCTGTATTTGAGTCTTCGCGTATTGTTTGCATGACTCTTTCCTGAGTTTCCGGTTCAAGCTCTTCAAACAGTGCCTGTCCATATGGAATATGCTCGTTTCCAAATATATGTTTTTGTAGCCATTCTGGTTTTCTTTCCATGTTACCAACTATATCTTTTGTGAATGGGAAGGCTTCTACCCAATCTTTCAGTCTTGCGTCGTTTATTTCTGTAGTTGGTTTTATTTTGTCAAGGAACATGTTTTTTCAATACTAACATTTCATTTGGTACTGTCCATTTGAGTTTTCTTAAATATTCATCCCTTCTCGGTTCATTGTCTGCAAAGTAAGTTTTTATGACATTTTGTAAACTTTCGTTTGCAAGGTCATGTACAATAGGTTCTCTTCCTTCTATCTCCCTAACTTTCTTTCTAAACTCTTCACCAAATATACCATCTCTATGGTTCTGTGTAGTTCTTTGAGATAAATGTTCTAGAACGTCAGGTGTTATATTTCCATCAGCCATGTTCATTTCATACTGGTCCAAAATATCTGCATCTTTCATATCTTTCAATGGCATTAAAGCCGCGCTGAAAATACCAGCTATATCTGGTTCACCATTGACTTCCATTGCGTCTACAACTTCTTGGAATTGAGGTTGTAAGTTTATGAACCACCTATCCGGGTTAGCTTTATGACCCCATCTCATTGTAGTTCCATCGTCTGCAGAAACAAAAGTAGGTTTGTTTCCATCTTGGTTAGGTTCTGAATGAACTTTAAACAATGTTTCATTTCTATATGTTTTCTTGAAATTTAACCTTTTATTTCACCGAGTTCATCCGAAGATTGAACGTTAAATGCTCGTAAGTAAAAAGGGTTGTTGTATTTGTGTACATTTTTTTTCAGTTCTTCCATTCTATGCTGAATATTTTCATCTGGTGTTGGAGTCTTTTGTATGTCGGCAAACATTTTTCGATATTCTTCTACTATGTCAGCCGAATTTTTTTTAGACTCTTGGAAATATTCCATATTCTCCGCATACTCTTGTTGAGGGTCAAGATTTTTCGGCTGTTCCAAATCTTCATCTAGTTCTGTGAAGTTAGTTTCCAAAGGAAGGACTTGTTCGTTTCCTTCAGGCTCTTCTAGCTTTTGTTGCTGAACTATTTCTTCCATGTCTGGTTGTATCTGAACTAGTTCTTCCTGTGGAGTTTCTTGTACCTCATCTGCTGGCATTTCATATATTCCGAGACCGTTTTCAACAAGTTCCCTTTCTAAGTCATCCGGACTCATAAACCTTTCTTCTTTCGTTCCGTCTCTATTTTTTACGCGTTTCATGAAGAGAGTTAAATTGTCATTTAGCTCTGACATCAAATATCTCGGAGTAAATTCGTTCATGTCATTTGGATGATATGCTATTAAATCATATCCCTTAGCGAGCTTGTATTTTCCAGGTTTGAAATTATATCCCCTTTGGTGCAGAGCCATAAAGCTAAATAGGTTCGGGTCAGTATTTCCATCCTTGAACTTTCTAATAGCTTCTTTATATCTGTCACTAAAGTCAATACTATCTGGGTAACCATAGTCTTCTTTAAGCATTTTTAAGAATTCTTGGTTTCCTTGTTCTCTACTTCTTTTATGTCCTTGCTCTGTTTGTGGTTGTTGTTGTGCTGGTTGTGGTGCAGTGTTTTGAACTGTTGGTTGTTGTGTTGGTTGTTGTGCTGGTTGTGGAGGTGGTTGTTGTGCTGGTTGTTGTGCATGCCTGTGTCTGTGTCCATGTGACGATGTAAATGTTCTAGGTAGTCCTGGTGCAGGTGCTTCTCTTGGAGGGTTTGGTGGTATATAAGTTCCACCAGCTGGCACATATGTTCCATCTGCAGCGTAATGTCCTACCTGACTTTTCGTTTTTAAGAAAGCATTTACTAGGTCTGTTTTGGTCTGTTGTAACTCTTTTTCTTGACTTTTCACAACAGTTGCTCTAACGGCGTCATAGGCACTTTGAACTGCCTGTCTCGTTGCTGCATCTGTTATTTTCGTCATATTTTGTGCTACTTCTTTTAACTCTTTGTCGAAACCTTCAGACTTCAGTTTCTTTCCAGATGAGAAGTCGTTCACTTGTTTCACCTTACTATGAAGAGCTTCGAAAGCGTTCTTAAAGTCAGCATTTGTTAAAGCTTCATTTGAACTATCTTCATCCGCTTGTATTTTTGTCCTTATTGACCCTATGAGTTGGGCTGCTTTAGCGTTGGCTTGGGCATCTAACCAGTCATTGTTAGCTTTTATATATTCTGCACTTTTCATTGCCTTTTGCATGGCTGCGTCGTTATTTTTACTTTCTTGTGCTAAGTTTTCATACTGTACGGTTTGGTTTTGCAACTGTAAAAGTTTTTCTGCCTTTACATTTGCTTCAACTTCTTTTTTATACTCATCGCTATCCATATATGTCTTCAGGGCTTTTTGTTTTATCTCTTCATCTTTCAGTACTTTATATTGAGTAGTATGGTTTTTCAAATTTACAACATCTTGTTCCATTTTTGCTACTTCTGCTGCTTTTTCTGACACTTTTTTCGCATATTCCTCTGTACTTAGTTCTTTCAGTTGTTCTTCTTTCTTCTTTTTCTCTACGTTTAACTCATTGAGTTTCTTTGTCTGTCTGTCATATTCTAGTTTCTTTTCGTTTTCGCTTATTTGTTTCTGTATGTCTATGTTTGACTTTTTGACATCTGTTATTTGATTTTTGAGTGAACTCAAATTCATTTGACTTTGAGGGTTATATGCTGTTCCGTCTGCAGCTCCACCATAGCCTGCCATTTTCGCTAAAAGTGCCGCTCTTAAACCTCCACTCTGTGCACCAACAACTCGGTTTAAAAGCATAGGATTGCTTGACATTTGTTGCAACATAGTGGGGTCATTCAGCATTTGTTGTTGCAACTGTTGTTGTGGTGTCAGTTTTACTATTGGATGTTTCAATGCTCTCTTCCTCTTACGTATATTCTTACGTAGCTTACGTGGCATTTTAAGTGAAGTTAAAAAGCGGTTTTTGACAGATGTTTTATTGTGACTTCTTCGTAAAGACTTTGTTGTGACTTCTTCGTAAATGAGTGTAAATGACCCAAAAATATATTTTAGGGTAGAAGGTTAGATATAACCTCTTTTCTAACCTCTTTTCTACCCTCTTGAATTTTCATGAATTTCTTCGTAAAGACTTTGTTAAGACTTCTTCGTAAAGACTTTGTTGAGACTTCTTCGTAAAGACTTTGTCAAGACTTCATCGTAAAGACTTTGTTGAGATTTCTTCGTAAATGACCCTAGTAGTATATTTTTGGTGTAAATTTCATGAAAATTCAAGAGGGTAGAAAAAGGTTAGAAAAGAGGTTATATCTAACCTTCTACCCTAAAATATATTTTTGGTGTAAATTTCATGAAAATTCAAGAGGGTAGAAAAGAGGTTAGAAAAGAGGTTATATCTAACCTTCTACCCTAAAATATATTTTTGGTGTAAATTTCATGAAAATTCAAGAGGGTAGAAAAGAGGTTAGAAAAGAGGTTATATCTAACCTTCTACCCTAAAATATATTTTTGTCTGATTTACACTCATTTACGATGAAGAAGTCTCAACAAAACATTTACGAAGAAGAAGTCTTGACAAAACATTTACGAAGAAGAAGTCTTGACAAAACATTTACGAAGAAGAAGTCTTGACAAAACATTTACGAAGAAGTCTTGACAAAACATTTACGAAGAAGTCTTGACAAATTCAAGAGGGTAGAAAGGAGGTTAGAAAAGAGGTTATATCTAACCTTCTACCCTAAAATATATTTTTGTCTGATTTACACTCATTGACGATGAAGAAGTCTCAACAAAACATTTACGAAGAAGAAGTCTTGACAAAACATTTACGAAGAAGAAGTCTTGACAAAACATGAAAACATATATAATTTGTGAAAAGTGAAACATTATATAATGTTTTCGACCAAGAAGACTAACAATTTTCCGAATAAAAACTTCATTTATACTAAACATCTTCAGGGCTAGAAGGCACGAAGTGCCTGGAAGCCCCACTACCTTTTTTTTTTTTTTTTTTTTTTTTTTTTTATAATATTTGTATTGATCAGGAAATGTAATTTTTATTTAGATATTTGCTGATAATCGATACAAAAGAATAATTCTTTTTCAAAAATTTTGTAAAAAAAAGTTAACTTTAAATTTACGACATAGATGTAAACCGACCCAAATTTTGTTTAGCTCTCAATATTGAACGAGATATCTGAATTCTGTAGAAAAAAAAAACGTTAGTCTTAATTTTTGTGAATGCTAAGAAATGCACTGGCATTCAGCCATGTCCTCTCCAAGGATATTATTTATAACACTGGTCCTCAAGTATCCGGACAAAAATTGATTTTTGAATCATTGGAAGACATAAATAACCCCGATGTCGGCAAAATAAAAATGGAAAATGGTATTACAACTATAGTTTATAAAATCCCTACTGCCAATTATTTGCGGGAATTGTGGAGTATTCTAAAATATGTTTCCAACTTGGAAATTGAACAAATTAATGTTACTTCGCTTAATTTATTATCTCACCAATTTTATACTCTTAAATCTATTACAATACCTGATACAATTACATCAATTGAAGATTTCTGTTTTCAAAATTACCGAATAACAAGCATTGATCTGAAAAATGTTCGATCAATTGGTAATTTTGCCTTTGCGAACTGTAGTTATCTAGAAACAATCATGGCACCTTCTTTGACTTATATTTCTCACAGATTTGCTTATAATTGTTATTCATTGCACACATTGAAAACAGGCACTTTAACGCGTATCGGAGGTCTTTCATTTTATCAATGTTACAAGTTAACTAGTATAGATTTATCAGCAGTTAGTTCAATTGGTGATAGTGCTTTTGCATATTCCGGTATTGAATCTGTTACAATTCCAGCAATTTGCGAGGAAATTTCTGATAATGCTTTTGAAGGATGTTTATCAAAGATTACATTTGATTCAAGAACAACAAATCTTGTAATTGGAAAATATGTATTTTATAGATCTTTCATCAAAAGTATTACATTGCCTTCTCCATTAACATTAAATGGTACTTATTCTTTTGCATTTTGTCATCATTTGGAAGAAATTCATCTTCCTGATGAAATAACATCCATACCGATGTACTTTGCATTCGAATGCACAAGCCTTAAGAGTGTTGAAGCAAAAGGAGTAACATCAGTTGGTTCATATGCATTTCAACTATGTGTTAATTTAGAATCTGTTAAATTCGGAACAGCCACAGAGTTTGGAAACAGTAGTTTCCAGTATTGCTCAAAACTTAAAATGGATATTGATCAAACAGTACCAGTTATATTTAATCATTATTCTTTTGGTTTTTGTGAATCACTTTCATTTAATTCGGTACCTTCAACATGGAATTTAACTGGAAATGGTATATTTTATGGATGCAACAGTCTCACATCATTAAAAATATCGGCATACATTAATAATGCAAATATGATGTTCAAAGGCTGTCGTGGACTGAAAAGTGTTGATCTTTTAGAAGGTGTTGAAGTAGTTCCAGAAAATTGTTTCCGGAATTGCACAAGTTTAACAACTTTCACTTTCAAAGATACTCTCCAATCTATTAAATCATATGCATTTTCTCACACTGCACTAACAGGTAAATATGATTTCACTTCCATTGAAGTATTTCAATATGATATTTAAGAAAAAAAGTTGCAATTTAGATTTTGATCTCGAAATGAATGTTCGTTTAAAGAAAAATGTAAGCTATTTAAGAAGAATTTTTAACACATTTAAATAACATGAACAAAAATAATAATAATAAAATATTAAAACAAAATATAATTATTTTTCATTCAAAAATCGACATACAACATTTCTATTGTTATTAAAATATAACAACATACAAAGTGATGTAAATGGTATCATCACAGCATGCGTAGTTTCAGTGAAATGAAGTTTTGGAATAAATTTTCTTTGAAAAACAGTTTTTGGTGAATGAAGTCATCAATATCAGACATCATTCAAACGCATCACATAATCTTATCACAAAACAAGGATGAAAGTGATCAATAATTTTTTCTTCTGATTTCATTTCAATGAATTATGATCTTTTGTGAATTAATCAAACTTCTAATCCTCATTAGACTTGTTTTTGATTTCATTTCGCCAAAGTCCTTAGTAAGTTTGACAATTATTAATTTACGGGTGTGATGCACCGATAAATATATTACGTGTTTGAATTATATAAGGAAAATTACGGGTTTGAATTATATTAGGAAAATTACGGGTTTGAATTATATTAGGAAAATTACGGGTTTGAATTATATTAGGAAAATTACGGTTTGAACTGTAATGTAAAGTATTACGGGTTTGAATTCTACTATAAATATTACAGGTGTATTTTGTAAAGTAAAATGTTCCAGTTAATTATTTCCAGCTTTTCTTCTTTTGATAGCAAAGTCCTGTAATAGCTGTGCAGTCACTTCCATACCGCTCTGTTCTGCGTAAGAGAAAGGAATCAAACCACGAGTATCTTTGCATTCGACGTCAATTTTCTTACTTGTCAACAAAACTTTGACTGTTTCGTATTCTCCTTCCTGTGCTGCGTAGTGGAGAGGCGTCATTGAGTTCTCGTCCTTGCAGTTTATGTCCAAGTCCTCTCTCTGCATCAGAGCCTTCACAGTCGCGTCGTTTCCGTCCTGTGCCGCGAGACACAAAGCTGTCATTCCCCACGAATTCGTCATGTTTATGTCGACGTTTGGGTTCTTCAGGACCTCAGTAGTCATCGTTGGGTCATCGAAGAGAGCGGCGATGTGGAGAGGTGTCATCCCTGTAGCATCCTTTGAGTTTACTTCAACACCGATCGTTCTGAGAATTAATCTGACAGCATCTGTCTTCCGATTCTTTACTGCGAAGTGCAGGGGTGTAGATTTGTCCTCAGTCTTGATGTTTATGTCCACGCCGTTCTTGTAACAGAACAAAATCTGGCTAATATTATTTGATGCCGCAGATTCATGGAGAATACTACCGAATCTTGGGTGTATTTCGGATAGATTGTGGAAGTAGTTAGTATGGAGCCACTCAAAAAGCTCTTGACGGAAGAATCGAGTTGCAATATGAAGACATCCTTCAAAACTGCAGGATTTCTGGGCTGCTAGCCTTGTAATTTCGATATTTCCACCAGCAATAACAAAGTGGCCAAGAGTAAATGATAAATTGTCGGTTAAATCAAGATCTGCGCCATTTAATAATAAAAATTTGAAACATTTAAGGGATCCGTGGAATCCAGCGTATTGTATGTATGTAGGTTTTTCTTGCATGAATTGGCAGGGCTCAAATACCGATGATCTGATCCTGCCGTTGAAATCTGAATTTGAATTTAAAGCGAGCTCTTGAAACAAATCAAGATTGTCTGTTTTCAATGCTACTGCAATTGATGATTTGTATCCGCCATGATCTATGCATTCTTTTTGTAATGCCCAGTTGTTTTCTTGTAAGTTTGAAATATTTTCGTAAAAATACTTGAGAACAAGCTTGCATGATGGCGCAGCGTATTCTTCGGAGAAAAGCTCTTGTAAACTTTTGTAAAATTTTGGATCTGCTTCTTGCAATTCGGGGGCAAAAATACAAAACAGCAGACAATGATAATATTTTAGATCATCATGGTGCTCGCAAAAAGATCTGATATTTGCAACTATTTCTTCGCTCGTAATATTGATTGTGTGACAAATATTTCGTAGGAAGATAAAATCGCCAACATTTGCAAGAAACTGTTCGATGAATGGTTTAGGAGTTAGTAATGCTTTGATAAGATATGGTTTTAATGATTTTAGTGCATTTTGTGGCGTTTTATTTTGATATAAAATCCCAATTAACTCTGCATATGTTGAAATTAAATGAGGACGGACCTCACAAGCTTGAATTATATTTCTAACAAATTGTTGGACTTTGTCATTTGACAATGGGATGACAGATTGTAAAATATAAGAGGAAACACTACGCAGTTTTAACTTAGTCAAATCCATAAGCCACTCTTGAAGCTTCGAAACCAGGTTCGCCTCTTCTAGAGCATCTGGTTCGAAGAGGATGGGTCTAGACGACATCAACCTCTCAAAATATTGGTTTACAAATTGTTTTTGGACAAAGAAACCAAAAATGGATTGTTAATATTAAACACATGCTGTACATTATATTTATCTCAAAATATCTGTAAATCACCCCGGCCAGAAAAATTCAAAAAAGAAAGAAATCAAAATCATGAAAAAATTAACTGGAAATTGTATATGGGATTTTGATATATTTAGAATGGCAGCATATTGGCAAATACTGAATTGCCCTCAATTCAAAAATTCGGTTGAAAAAAAAATTCAGGGTTGGAAGACGATCAGAAGTAAATTAGCCTCATATTCTTTGGGAACTTCGATTCACACTGGTGCATACATGCAAATTAATAGGAACCCCATATAAAAATTAGCATTCTGAAAGAAGTGCTCGCAAAGAATCTGTTCCTTTTTTTTTTGTAATTGATTGATCAGCTAAACCCTTCTTTAATTCTGAATTTTTTCGTTTTTTATTATTGTAGACTTGGCAGTCTAGCAGCTGTGATTTTAATGTTTCTGACAACAAAGGAAAAACTGCTCTACACTATGCATTTATAAATAAAAATGTTGCAACGACTCAATACCATTTTGGCCATTGTGTAGTAAATGTTTCTGATAGGGATGGAAAAACTGCGCTACACTATGCAGTTATAAATGAAGATAAAAGCATGATAAAGCTTCTTAACTCTAAAATCAGCATGTGTACATTCTTAACAGAACGCTTTGGCTTACTTGGTATCTTCTCGATTATTTGTACCTCAATCTCTTGTGGACTTTTATTTTTGCAAATTGTAAATGACATAATAAATGAGTCAATGACATGAGTGTGTGTACCTTGATTTTCTGACAAAAATGAGATTAAAGATGCAGATATGGCAATTCTTTAAAAAAATTTTGAGCGAAATTGGTGTCCTTCGGATGCCAATTTCGCCGAATAATATACATATATCATGGTTATAAGTATTTTGGTTTTAGGACCTATTTTTTATTCATATATTATTTTGGATGTTAATTCATTGACCCAAAACAATTCACTCCCTTTCCATTTTGATGGGTATAATCTGCTATATTTTGTAAGTTGTTAAAAAAAATAAAAAAAATAAAATTTCTTCGAAATATAATGACAGTAATGCATTATCTTATTGATGTTTAGATGTTAGTTCGACAAATGTATAAAATTCACAAAAGAACTCAGCAAAATAATCTTCATGATTAATACTAAAATAATACTTGTGACAAGACAAATATAGACGTAAGGAAGAATTTTGACTTAAATCCACTTTGATTAAACCAAATAATCAGCAAAAAGATGTTGTAATTTAAAAAGTGTCTGATTTGCTTTCTTATTAGTTAAATATGTTTTAGTGTCATTGTTTTAGCTTTCTTTAAGCTTATGGCAATTCTCAATAACTTTTGTCAAATGCTAAGAAAATTTAAGGTTCGACAAATCGTCCAAAAATATCAAATGATTCAATTTCAAATAACCTCTCAAAATTGAATAAAAATTTGACAGAAAAAAATGGGATGCTGCAGCTCATGTTGTCCAAATCATAATTTTAACTTGCAAGGCCTGAAACCAATACCAGAAAAGGATCTATACATAGAAGTCAAGTGTTATGTTAGTTTCGAAAGAATTCAAATGTATCCTGAAATTTGCTCAAAAGAAGATATAAATAAGAAAATAGTCCCGAACTGTAAAAATGGGAATGATTTCGAAATTAAATACACGTTTCCAATAATACCATTCAGCTGCGACGGTGAAAATGTTGATTTTCTCGTTGGATGTGATTATTATTTCATAGATAAGCAATGTAATATAGGCTATCTTCAACTAGTTTACACATATGATCAATCTGTCACTCCGCAAGTTGAACATTTTTCACAAAGAAAAGCTAAACCTGAAAATTCTGTTGAGAGGAGAATGCTTAAAATGGCAAAAATGTTATTAGAGCCAATTGAAAAGCGTATTTTTCCAAAATCAGTCGATTTAAATTGCGATCTTCCTAAATTTTAAAGGTGACCAAACTATTTTTTGAAAGTCCGCCATAACTTTAATGGTACTATTTCAGCGTGTACAATGAATACAAAAATTCTAAGAGTGCCACATAAAATAGTACTTTAGACTTGAGTTAATGCTACCAAGCAAATGTTAAAAAGATGACTTTAGTGTTTTGATAATCAAAGATTAAAATCATTATTGTCTAAATCAATAATCATAACGACAGAAGTTAATGTTTTTTCATCAGTGCTTTAAATCCACTTTTAAAAGTATACCTCAAAAATCAAAATATCAAAAAAAATTGGCCGATAGGTTTGGCTTTAATTTTTGTCTGCTTTTATGATTTGATATGGATGTTATAATTTTAAAAGTTGAGCCAAATTCACCAATAGATTTTTGAGATTTGCAAATACTCAATAATTTTCAGCGTGTTATCTTTTATTAAAAGAACTATTTGGTTTCAGTATCATATAAATTGATATTTACTTTCTATTTGAACCTTCATTTAGCTAATGATTTAATAATACAGATTTCATCTAGTCCTTATAAGAGAATTTTGAATTTGTTATAATAAAAAAACAAACAGATATAGCTTACACTTCTATAATAAAGATACCTTTTATAGAAATCAGTATGAAATGTGTTTTGGCTTATTGGAAGCATATCAGACATAATCGCCATAATCAAAAAATCTATATACCCAATAAGTAATAAATTTGTCGATATAGATTTTCCATAAAATTAGTTTTTAGTCTGATCTTAAAATAAATTTAATTTTTTCTAAAAAAAAATCACATTTAAAAGTACCTTTTTAGTAGCTCGAAATCCTGTTGGTGGATTTGGGGCGTACTTCAAAATTAGCTTTTCTTCTACATATGCAAGCTATATTTTAAATATGGGGCAAATCGGATCGGCGAAAGGAGTTTAGTTACCTTTTAAATTTTTTGAATTTAAGCAAAGGCTTCTCGAAATGTTTGATATCAAACAACATTTTCTAAAAGTTGATCCTAAAAAAGTTTTTATGGATACATCTCTGATAAATACATCTTATCATCATCTTTGTCATGCATTTATGGATTCAATGAGGTTTTCAGACCCACCTTCTTTTATACCAAAGACTGACAATCCTGATAGCGAACGAGACAAAATCAATGATCAAAAACAGCAAAAGATTCAGCCTCTAGAACAATTTGAAGGAAAACCTGTTGATATAGAAAAATACACTTCCAAAAGTGGAACAAAATCAAATGATACTAAATATTCTAGCATTGAAGAAGATTATGAATTTCAAGATTACAGTCTCTCTTACAACCCGATCCCCAGGACAAAGTATGACTTTCTATTCGCTGTTAAAAATGATAAGCAGGAAGAAAAAATAGATTCTGAAGGAAAATTTTATCAACCAGTGATTGCATTTCGAGGAGTTTTCAAAGATCGTATCTTCTTTTTCTATGGAACAAGTCTTTTTGTGGTATCAATGTATGGTGATATAAGTCCAGCATCACTAACTATAATGCCCTATTGTTACTGTCCTTACTATCATTTTGTTAAATTCCGCGATCCAATTGGTTGGCGCGAAAAGAAGATTGTCAAGGAGATGTTGAAGTACTTTTCGAAAGATAGTATTTATCAGAAGAAACCGGTGCTCTATAGTCATTGGGCAGATGTAGGTCTACCATGTTATGGTATTGAATCTGCACATTATTATCCAGATTGTTTCATTCCAATGGGGGATGTTATACCTCAAACCTATGACTAAATATTTATGATTTTTTATTTTGAGATATTCAAAAAATAATAATAATTTTCAACTGACCATGATTCAAACATCATAATACTCAGCCTATGTGAAATTAAATCCAATGTTTTTAGTCTCAAGATAGCTTCATTTAGAAGTGATTCCACCAAGATCCTCATTCATGGGGGTGAGAATTCATACTACAAATGCTGTGTCCAAGAACAAGGTTACTCCTTATATTAGTTTAAAATTCTAACACTTTTTGATCGCAATTGTATTCGAATTGAAAATGAAATTTTATGAACATTATGAAGGACTGAATTGAATGAAGGTACTGATAGTTTTGGATGCATAATATATAAAAGATTGATGGAATTCAAATCTGTCAAATTGACAAAATAAAATCTATAAAAAATGGAGAATCCTGAGGAATCTCCAGTGAAATCTGTAGCTGAACCAATTCTCACTGACCCTGATATTGATATTCCCATATATAAAACGACCGAAATCCCAAAGCGATTCGTATTTAAAAATATGGAAAATTTTCTGATCAAAATTGATCAAACCGCATATGATGACACATCTTGGATATGCAAGAAATTTATTAACAACTATGATTTGACCATTGATTTCTGTGAAAAACTTATTTCACAAATTAATGAACGAATTAACAAAGCAAAAAAGACTCTTTCAGAATGTTTTCAGCGAAGTTTAGTACCTAACAAGCTAAAATATGTAGCTGTGAATTCAAATTCCTTCTTTTATCTAATAGTTCTTCTAAAAAGAAAAACATCACTCGAAAAGATCCTCAATGAGAACATTATATCAACTTTTACTTATCGTAAATCTATAATTTCTAAGATAATTGCACTCGCAAAGCATCTCAAGAAATATCCACGTTCTTATGTGATAAATATCGGAAGATTACATGCTCTTAATCCTCAACATACCGATTTCATGATAGAAACCGTACTAAAAATTAAAGCTCTCGAAGTTGCAATTTCAGATGTCAAAGTTATGCATATCTACACACCAAAAATTGCATTACAACCGTCAGAGCGTACTGAATTCATGAAAACATCGATCCTTTCATGCCTTAGATACCAAGATCCTTTAACTGGTTACATTCCTGAGACAGAACACCATGGAACGTTTGCCACGTTCATGGATTCAAGATTTGAAATACATAAGATGGCAAAAACGAGTTCAATTGAGACAATTATTAAGAGAACAATAGAAGGTTCAACAGAATTCACGAATTTTAAATCTCCCGAGCTTATTCAAGCACTGAAAACGCTTGCATCACGATATTGGTTCGATAAACTAATAATTGTCAATAAATTTTACAAAGAAAATTATAATCCAAAATTTTCAAGTTATGTTAAGAGTTTACGGTCTTGTTCACTCAAAGAACTTGGAATTACAAACAAATTGTTTAAAAAACTTGGCCATTTCAAGTTTTCTTCAGAATTATTGAACTCTTACATCTCATTTCGCGATGTTTCATATGATTACATTGAATCTTTGTTATACCAAACGTCTCCATTGGATATAGCAAGGAATTATTATACAATTGACCTCTTAATTTCAGGTTTTGTTGCTAATACGCTCAATCAGTCGATTGATACCAAAGATGTCAAAGAGAATCTTCCATTTATGTGGTCTGTCATATTTATCAACTGTCCTTGTACTGTAATTGATCTTCCAATCAAATTTGTCATGAAATATCATGATTTATGCGATATTCCACACTTTTTAATAGAGAAATGCAAAGTGCCCTATGATATTATTATGAAATGGCAAGCGAAATGTTAGTTTTTAATAAAATATTAGTTCTATCTTTTTATTATTTGATTATTTTTTAATGATAATATATTAAACAAGTTACCAAAGGTCTAAAATAGTATATATTAATGTTGGTCTTTAATGTAATGCCTTCTGAGCATTGATTTTTGGTAATGGTGAAGTAATTTGAAATCAGCATAAATAAAGATAGAAATTGATACATTCTCATGATTTCAGAGCTTGAAACAAACCTGGGCCTTGACAAAATCGAAATTTTCTAAAATATAAAAAATGAAAAACTTATTAAACAGTTTAGAAAAAAAATTCAAAAAAATAAAAGATTATACTTTCATTTTTTTCAACTCTGCTCTCTTTTCTGCCAAATTCTTTATGAATTGTTCGCAAGAGTTGATATAAGATAAAATTGTTTCACGAGATCTAAGAATAGAATCCCTAGAATTGGTGTTTGCTGCATTTGTTACGCAGAAATTCATCAGATCAATGACATCTTGTGGAATATGAAGGAAAAATTCTTCATCTCGTGAATTTTTCGTCTTCAAAATTGCGTTTATCTTCTCTTTGTAGCTGTCTATCTTCTTCTGGAGCTCTTCCTTGCTCGCCGGGTTCTCTCCTAGATCAGGAATCTGATTCATCATCTTACGACGCTTAATAGCGACCATAAGCTTCTCATTCTGGGCCTTTACAGCTTCAATGTACTCATCGATCTCGGGAGCTGACTGAAATTCGCTGTTTTGGTCGTAATTTGTGTCCATTGAAGATCCTCTTGAGTTGTAGACGTTTTCTGGAGGTATTGATTGCTTCAGGGCCTCGAGTTCTTTCTTCTTTGCCTGGTTACTTTCTTCAATTTCCTTTAATTGTTTGACCAAATTTTCAAGATTCGCTTTTTTGTTGTTTATGACGTTATTCATCTCCTCAATCTGCTCTCTGTACTTGGAAGATCTGGTTTTGAAGGTCTCTGGCTGCTTCTGTTTGACGCTTTTGACTCTTTCGATTTCATCTGAAACTTTTGAGATGTTTTGGTCGAGTTTGAGTATCATATCTTCTTGCATTGAGATCAGAGCTGCGTTTTTGAGGACAGCTTGGCCTTCATTTATCCGAATTTTTTGCTTTTTCAGATAAGCGCCCAGTTTCTTGATGATATCGTAGAACTTTGTATCTGTAACTCGTGTCATGTTAGCGTATATCGCCTGCATGGCCGGAAAATCGCAATCAAGTTCGATATCGCTTGTAAAGTTCGCAGATTGGGTTCCATATTGGTTCTGGTTAACATTGAACTGCTGAGGAATCTTTGGTATTGATCTGAAATCTGGTTTGAACTTGTCTTTCAGATTTGAGAAAATTCTCAACGACAAAACACAGTAATCGTAGTTCATTACCTTGATTTGGTATTTCAGAACGATACTTGTGAAATCTTCGATATCGTTTACTAAAGAATCCATCAGGAAACAGTGTTTTGAGTTTGAATGCGAGTTTGCAATGAACTTTCTGAGGGAAATGAGGGCAGAAAGGAGGTCTGAGTTATATTTCTCGTATTTTACATCATATGGTTGAGCAGATTTAGGGAATAATAAAGCATAAGAGACAACAACCTTCAAAGGCTGGATAATTTGCTTGTTTTCAGGTGGCATGTGAGCAATATACACATCTAGTGAATAAATGTAGTTCTGGATCGTTCTTAAATAATATTCATCTTTTGGAGGAATAAAAGAGACTCTTGGCTTGGACAAAACTGTTGTCAGACCTTCATACAATGGAACAAAAGTGAAATTATCGACATTTTTGGTGAGATTAGTTGAAAATGGGAAAAGATTATGTATTTTCTGATTAATATTCACTAATCCGTGGAAGTCAAATATGCTATCAAGCGAATGAGCAACAGATGTGGCCAAAAAGAGCTCGGGAAGGTTAGATGCTGCTTGATTTAAATGATGGCAGTCCTTTCCGATATCAGTAAGCCTCTGGGAAGCATTCCTGAATATTTTCATGGTCTTTACGAACTGCGTGAAGCAGATTGCGACCTTGTTTGTCGGACCAATATGATTGGCCAGAACCGCAACTGCTTTTTTGAGGCGGTCATAGTCTACTTTGAAGTCAAGCTTCATTATGCTGTCGAAAGAACTCTGAATAAACATGAAATTATCAAGGCTATCTGACGAAACTTGCAAATTAACAGGTTTTATGAGGGATTTGAGGTACTCGCTCATCTCAAATATGGTCATTGGTATTTTCGGAACGAAAATGTTCTCACAAAGGTAGTTATATAAATCATGAACTGGTTGTTCGCTTTGTCCGTTCTTGTAAAGGGTAATTAAGTTAATAGAAAAGAACCTTTCGACCAATGGAACGTTGTTATTCGACTTCTCTTCAATGAATTCGATCAAACTCTCACTTAATGACTGGAATTTCAAACTGAGGCTCGTAGTTTCAGGAGCAAATGTAAACTCTTGGCCCTTTGAATTTTCTGGGACACAATTCGTGTAAAAATTGGCCGCGTGGTAGTAAAAACTGAAAATTGCGAGAATTTGGGAAGTATATTCGTCATTTGAGAAGACATTCTTGTTAATTTGCATGTACCTACTTGCCATATCAATTATTTCCGCTGGAGAAGGAATTCTTCCGTTCGGAAACAGATCAATTGGTTTTAACATCAATTTTCGCTTTAATAAGTACGGCAAACTAAAGATTGGTGGTGCGTATGTGCAAAACTCTGTTTTTGTCTTCTCCAAAAGGCAGCTTTGTACAACAGATAAAACTCTATGCAAACTTCTGAGTAAAAGAGTGAATCTGTCCATGAAATTAGCATATTTGTCATCAATGAGTTGAAATGCCTTCAGTTTGTATGTCGCCTTGTTCAATTTCTTGATCAATTTAAAGATATCTTTATTTTTAGGGGAAGATAATGAAATATAATCAGAAATTGTAAGGGAATCTTCATAAATTGATCGACAAATGACCTGATAACAGAAAGACATCATCAAATCATCGCATTTTTTGGTTAAATCCAGATTTTGTTCATCAAAGGTGGCCGTACTTAAGAAATTGGTATAATTTGAAAGAACTGTGGCCAACGATGTTATCGTTCTGTTGGTATTTACGTCGAATGTTTTGGAAAATGATTTTGAAAACAAAGAAAAGGAATTGAACGAATCCGGATAATCGGAAAGTACTACTTGCTCGATATCCGATAAGTTGATATCAGTAGTTTTCGATGCTGACCTGAATTTGAGCTCTGTATAAGTAATATAACGTTTTGCAAGTAAAGTTAAGTCATTTAGATTAGCAAATGTTTGTAAGTAATAAAGGGCTTGTATAGAATCCATGATTTCTTGGTTGTAACTTCGATCATAATAATTAAGAATTTCACAAGAGAAAACTGCAAATCTATATGAGTAACTTATGATTTTTAGCAATTCTTTTGATGTGTATGAGCTCTTAAGAGATATTTGGCCGCGTATTCCAAGAGAATCCATTGTTTCCACAAATTCTTTGAATAAAGAGACTGTGCTGTAGCTCTCGATCTTGCTCTCTATAAGGTTAATCTGGGTAAGCTCGTTTGAACCCTGTTTGAATGAAGTTTTGAAATTATTTATTGATTCTCGAAGCAATTTGATGTCATCTGGCTGGGATATGTGCACTGTTAGGATGGAATCAACTGTTGCAACAAGCATTTCGCTATTAGATACCATGCTTTTCAAATAATTGAATTCATCCGTTAAATTTAACGTGAGATTGGAGACAATTTTGTGGAATCCTTGTGAGAATATTTGCCAGTAAAACATAAATGATTCGTAAGTCGAGTATTTATATGAAAATGAGAAATGAACTAAAAAAGATTCCAAAGGAGCAAAGTATCCAAGTAATTTAACACGGTCTGAGATGTTATCGAGGCTAATAGCTTTGATAAACGTGCATACTTGCGGATATATTTCACTAATGGAGAGAACTGTATACGAATTAAGGCCGTCGGACTTCAAACTATCCAAAGTTGACTGAATGCTGCGCTTAATATCATCATACGCATTCAAAGGTGTTGGTCGAGAATTGCTAATCCCCGACGCAGATTTTGAAGTCATCAATGTTTTGAAATTTTGTAGGGAATAAACGAGTATTGCTTTTTTTTCATTTAAAGATAAGGAATTGACATTATTTGGTATAAAAAGTGAAAACGATCTCAAAAAATGGGTGTTAGAAATGGAAGAATTTCAAGAATTTTCATAACCTTTCCAAATCACATGCAATCAACCAAATAAAGCTTTTCCATTTAGAGCTGTTCATGAAATGAATACCTATGAACCACAACAATTAGGATATGAAAGGGAAATAACTTTGACAAAGATTTTCAGTAAGTATTTAACACAAAAGAGATTATATTAAGCATGAAAATGCATTCCTTTTATTTTACAACGAATAAACTATCCGAAGTTGGAAAAAAAAATATTTTTTTGTTTTCACTTTGATGTCTGAACTTTCACCTAAATTTTTAGCACCTTTCGTCACTGATAAAATTGGTGATAAGTACATCGCCCAAGTCCCAAAGATAATTCTTGAACATCTTAACTCTCCGGAATTTACAGTAGATTTATTCCCAGAAAAGAGACCAGGCTATCAGAAATTACACTTCATTAGGACACAGTCCACAGCTGCAGACGAAGATCAGTCAATTGAAGCTTTAGTTCAAAAAGAATTCAGTACAGATAAATGGGCAAGACAAGTCAAGGAAAGATTAGCCAGAAGAGGCGTTCTTTCATCTGTCAGAGAAAGAGAAGAAGATAATACAATCTACTCTGCATTCAGAGCTGATGATAAATTCACAGTTAAAATCGATGGTCTTCCAGAACCATTCGATAAAAGCGATGTCGTGGATCTCCTTCATGATTGTGGTTGCAACTACTTCGAATATATTAACATTCCAAGAGATAGAGAAACAAACGAAAACAAACCTGTTGCATTTGTTCACTTCTTACACTTAAGACATGCCATTCTCTTCATTGAAAACAACCCACAAATCAGAATCGGTAGATTCATCTTAACTCCAATTCTCGTTCCTTAAATGAAGAAATGTATAAAGGAAGTTCAATATTTACGAATAATCATAACGCTTACGAATATTTTGAAATCCTACTTAAGACTTTATAGAATTTAATAAAAAAATTATTTTATTATTACATAATTACGTTTTTTTTCGGACTTAAACGGGTTTAAATCAAAACATACTTCAACTGGAATGCAAGAATTTGTTTCATATTGCAGTAAATTCAATCAATTTAAATCGGAATACGATTAATGTTCATTTTTATCAGCCAATTTGTTGATAAATAATTTTAATATTAATTATAAAAGTTATTTGTAGACGTAATTTCCAACATTTTTCCAAAAAAATTCTCAAAATTAGGAAAATGTTTTGAAAAATCGAGAATTTTTTTGTCAAATTTGAATTTTCAAAAAAAATTTGGAAAATATAATCAAGCAAGAAGAGTGTTTACTTATCTTACATTGTTTTTGTAATTATGTTAATGCCAATTCTTACGTATTTTTTACCATTTTGTTTGTTTGACGAAATATTCATCGATATCACTCAAAATTAATTTGATTTAATCAGAAATTAATACTAAAATAAAGCATTGGTCAGCATTCTCGGCCATGCCATTTTATTATTCATGCTTGATTTACATTATTCAAAAATTTCATTATTCAATTTCTCATATGACTCGAAGACAAATCTTTGATTTCCAATACTTTTCGAATAGAATTACTTTTCTAAGGCGATATGGTTTTATTTACCATTATCTTTTACTAACCACATTACAATATCAGTTTTAGAAAGGCATTCCACATGAAACAACACCAATATTCCTCACTACTATCTTTAAAAAGACTTTTATAATCAATATTCGTTTCATAAACATTAATTTCTTTTTACAAATCGCAAAAGAGTAAAAATATAATTTGATTTTCTACGAATATTTATAAATACTTTTGTTTATTTATTTAGCCCTGGATGCTGATAGCTCCTGTTGGGCAACGAGTGTAGCAAAGACCGCAGCGGAAGCACTTTTCGCCTGTAACCTTAGCGATGCCATCTTCGAGCTGGAGGGCTTCGTAGAGGCAGGATGTAACGCATGTGCCGCAGCCGACGCACTTCTCAGCCTCAATCTTTGGTGGGTTGAGCTGGGCAAGCGGTGGGTGCTTGAGGCCGAGGCCGATGACCTCGTGGATGTCCTTGTAGCCGTGCTCTGTAAGCCACTGGCTCATTTCCTGAGCGATACGGCCATAAACATCACGGCCTTCAACAATAGCAGCTGTGCAGATACCAAGAGCCTGAGCACCAGCCATGAGGAATTCAATAGCATCGCGGCCGTTGGAGATACCACCAACACCGACGACTGGGAGATCGACTTCCTTGCAGACATCGTAGACAACACGAAGAGCAAGTGGCTTGATAGCTGGGCCAGAAACCCAACCGTACTTGGATGATGAGCCCATGAATGGAGCACCCTTGCGCTCGATATCGAGAGCAAGTGTTGGGCCGAAGGAGTTGACGCAAACAAGGCCTGTTGCACCAGCTTCCTTGGCAGCCTTAGCGGCCTTTGGAGCATCACGGAATGGTGAAAGCTTGACGAAGACTGGCTTGCCACCAGAGCCCTTGATAGCGGCCTTGATAGCATCCTGCATTGGCTTTGGATCATCACCGATGTAGTGTGTGGATAATTCAAGACCATCGCAGAATGGAGCAACCTTTGGAGCCATCTGAGCGATTTCATCAGCTGTGTAACCCATTGAGCAGATCATTGGGACCTTAGCCTGGTTGCAAACTTCACGGATCTTTGGATATTCGTGTTCGAGCCACTGTTCTGGTGTTAATTCTGTCCAGAGTTCTGTGTTCAGGAAGTACTTGTGGTCCTTAGACTCGTACATGTTTGGTTGTGGAACCTTAGCAGCAGCTGTTGAGATGGTCTTTGTAACCATAACACCGCAGCCGCCCTTGATGCAGTCAATGCATGCCTTGGCATCGCGAACTGGTGGGCCTGGAGCTGGCATGAGTGGGTTCTTGACCTCATATCCGGCGAACTTTGTCTTAAGAGACATAAGAACAAGTGAAATCAAACAATCAGTTCACATAGCTGGCGGTTGTTCCTCTCAATTTCAGAATTACATCGTTTTTTACCTCTCAAAATTGAATGTATAAAAACAATGAATTTATTGAGGTTGTTAAGGATAAATTTCGCTCTCGAATTTTTCCTGAATCTGCGTATGGTAAAGAACATATCTGCTAAATATCATCTTTCAATTTAAAAATTCAAAGATTTCCAAACGACGAGATTTCAATTGAAATCAACTAAATCAGATCATTAAGGAATATTCTGCAGATTTTAACAAAATCAGTTTTTATTTTTTTGACAGCTTGCCACATCATCTCGTAAAATTAAAATTATATTAATACACTTGATTGAGTAAAATGAAATCTTGGTCACAAAATAACTTTTTGTATTCAATTAAGGGAGGCTTCCGACCAGAAAGCTCTCTCAATTTTTTGTGATGTTTACACCAAAAGTGAGATTCGTTAAGCGTTTTCTCGTTGAATATTGAGTTTCCCGGATTTTGAGTTATTCATAAAGCTCCTCTATATTATACCCTATCTACTGATATGATTATTTTTGAAAAATCTCTTAAATCGACCTGCACTGAATTTTTTAGGGAAAATTCGAAATTTTCTAGGCGTTTTCTGTAACGTTTTTTACGGAATAAAATCCGAAAAATAATTTTTTGAAGAATCATTTGGGTAGAATACTTATCGAAAATTATATTTATTATAATTTTGGTCGATAAAAATAAGCGGATTCAAAACTGGCAAAAACCCTTTCGGCAATTTGTGGACGATTCCGGACCCCCTCATTTTTGAAATTTAATAAGAAAAATAGAATCTTTATTAAATATAGATTTTAAAAAACTTGGTTATAAATTACGAAATTTTCTCACTTGGGCTAAAAAGTGACAATTTGGTCGGAAGCCACCCTTAATTTGAAAGCTTTTTTTATCTTTTGTTGTTTCGCACCGAGAAACATTCTTATTCCTTAATAGAAAAAAGCAATCATATCAATTCAATGCATACTTTCGTATCATGTCTATACATTTCGATAGAATAACTCCAACGCAGTAAATTTTTTATCTTTTCACGAAACCCTGAAGTAAACGATCCATTAAGAATAAATATTCTTTTCATTTGATTTAATGCGAAGATTCATGACAAATACGCTACATGTTTCAAGCTTGAAAAATGTTTTTTTTTTCTCATGAACAAAACAACAAAAATCCCTTCATGAATATGCATTTCTTTTTCGAAAAAGTAAACTGATTAATTTATAAAGACGCTGTTGTTTCTCGAAGACATTTCGTATAGTTTTTTGTGATTCTGATAGTTTAACATATATAATCAAAGTGTAAATTTACACACCTCCATTACCTAACCGATTTAATAATACAAATACCATATTTTTGTTGATATGACAACATATAATGATTATTCACAAGAATAAAACGAAGCCTTCTATATTAAACCCATAAATGAGAGGAGTATTATTTATATTTGATCTTTTTCCACGCATATGTTCTAAAATCAATCCTTTTTGTTAAACCTATCAGTTCTCATGCGTACCCTTCTAATAAACGCATCCCATAAGAAAAATAATAAAGAAATTTAAAGAAACAACTTAAATGTATTGCAATTGAAGTTTAAATTTCCAATTTTATAGAAAAAAATGTTGGGAGATGCAAGATTTTAGAATTCTAATATTCATCAACATACAAGAGGAGAATTTTCAAACCCATGAATTTCATATATTAATAATAGAATTAATAAAATTCATAACAAATAAAATATATCATTTAGGAATAAACATCAATTCGCACAATACATATTAGATAATTTCAAGAGCCTAAAAGCTTCATCATTAAACTAATAACAAGATTTCGGTTCAAATTCTAACAACAGCCACCAGATTTCTTGGCCGGAGCTGTAGATTCGATAACAGCTAATGGAGCAGCAAAGACTCCTTGTATTAAACCTTTTGATGCTGACTCATGAATAGTTTGACCTAATCTGACAAAAGCATCTTGAACGTTTGTATTATTAAATGCAGATGTCTCCATATAAACGCATCCGTGACGCTGCGCTAATGTACGTGCTTCATCGGAAGTAACTTGTCTTTGGGATTCTAAGTCGCATTTGTTTCCAACAAGAAGTATAACGGCATTCGGAAGACATCCATTATGAATATCTTCAATCCATTGTTCGCAGTGATCAAATGATTCAGCTGAGTTAATTGAAAAAACAACAAGGGCGCCACAACCATTTCTAAAATACGATTTAGCAACAGACCTATACTTTTCTTGGCCGGCTGTATCCCATATCGTCAATTTAATTTGACTACCGTTTGCCATTGTTGTGTATGCTTTAAATTCTACTCCAACTGTTGGTAACGGTGAAGATTCGAAGCTACCTGTAATAATTCTATCAACTAATGAAGTTTTACCTGTCCCTGAATCTCCGACAACAAGTACCTTGTAAGTTGGAATAGAGTACATTTTATGAAAAATAAATCAAAAATTGATCGTTTTACAATTACCGGATTTGGAATATATTTCACATACCTAAAACCACGATTTCAATAGCTAATTTGGATCAAAAATAAAATTGACACTTGATTGATTTTTAATTTTTCCGTATATTGAATGGTATACTCACAATTATTGAATGGATACGGATATATTTCAGGAACAAAAGGTTCCAATTTTATGATTTATTGTCTGATAAATTTTCAAACTTTGCAATACCTGTAATATACAGAACATACACACTATGCATCAATAACAAAAATAGATTTATTTTATTTATTCAAATATCTTTTAAGAAAAAAGGTATCTTGTAACTCTCAACTTCAATTTTTGACAATTTTAAATTAGTAAATAGGCTTAACTTGTATTCAAAAAGTTAATATTTGATAAAAAATGTAACATAGTCAATTCATAGAAAATAAATAACATTTAGATAATTGGATATGAAAAAAGCAATTTCGAGTATAATCAAGTTCAGAACATTAAGTCACAATCCATAAAATCTTGGAATATATCTTGATCATCTGTTGAGTCAACAGGTACCGTTTCAACTTCTTTTTTCCTAGTATTCTTTTTTCGCTTCTTTTCTAACTCATTTACAATGAAAATATTATCAAGTGTAATACAATTTCTCTCCATTTTTCGATACTCAGACTTGACATCAACATCACTTCTATTATCTAGATATTTTGCAATAACCGTCCATTTTTTGCCAAATAATTGTATTAATTGCAAAATTTTAAACTTCTCCTCTATAGTAAATTCGCTTCTATTATAATTATTTGAAAGATATATATTCCATCTTTCTTTGCACTGTCTTGCATTTCGAGTTTGCATTTGATATGCAACTTCTTCCCAGTTGATTTGCTCGTTCTTGGGAATACAACATATTATTTCTTTGAGTCTATCATCTTCTTCCTTTGTGAATAGGCACTTTGTTCTCCTCTTTCGGCAATCACCGAGTTCATTCATCTTTAATATGAAATATAATTTGAGACCCATTGAAAAAATCAAAAAAGGTTAATTTGATGATAATAATACTATACATACAATATTCTACAAGATATGGGAAACAATTTTTGTGATAGTTTACTTTTTGAGAAATCTTGGATTTTTTGATAGCTTTACAAAAACAATATCTGATTTTTTGATAAGTGTAAAATTGTTCGATTTCAAAATAAGTAAAGACATATCATTCCTGATTAATGTGCGAACAAATCCTCACACTGATTCAAAACTCCGTATCGATTATATTATTTGTATTATATATTTATGAATCAATTTCTTGAAAAAACTAATACAATTTCTTTCAATTCAAAAATTCAATGAAATAAAACTACAATCAATTTTTTTTATCATATCGAGAGTATATGAGCTTTTATTAAACTAAACAATATTTATATATTTGGTTTAGAATGTTCGAAAATGCGTAATATGGTCATTAATATTAATTGAAAAGAACCTTGAATTAATTCAATCTGATCTCACAAAATATTTTAAATTACAAACTTTGTAGTTTGAATAGATAATTAGTATTAAACTCAAATAACTAGTTTATTTTTGAATAAAAATTATTTGAATGTATTCAATTTTGTGAATTTTCCTTCAAAAATCAAGTTTAAATATCTTATTTGCCATACAATTATAAATACAATGAAACATATTCGAAATTGAAAAGAATGACTTTTTCTGTTCTTTCAATCATTCAATTTGAATTTTGCAATATTGGATTTCTCATTAGATGCCTATTAAAAACAACAAGCAATTTAACTTACATTCAAATTTATTTGTGTTATATTCAATCTTCTCAAAACTTATAATTTTCGGCTATAGCATGATTATATGCTATATAATATAATAAACCTATAATAGTATCATTCTTTCAATTATTTGAAGAGAAAACCGAAAAAATCTATTTTCGGTCTATAACAAAAGCATTATTTTATTTCGCTTTTTTAGTTCTAATATTATAATCATGAGTTAACACATTTATATTCACCTTGCTTTTTTATATCATAAAGCATTTAATTTCAACTTATTACTTCAATTGGCATCACCTTAAATTTGAAAACGACTAATCAAATTCAAATTTTCTTTTTTAATGTCTGTAAATAATATCCATATCAATTATTAAATTTTCATTTTCCTAATTTTTGTGAAACTTCAAATTTTGAGGGAATGCATTGAAAATTTTATTCGTCAGAGCTTTTTCTTGAAACTGATTAATTACGATATTGAAGCAAATATGATTAAAACTCATTAAAATAGTATTAATTAATTGCAAGATATCACTATTATTTTTATATAATTCTCAATTCAATATAATTTAATGAAATTATATTAATTTTTAAAACAATTACAATATACAATTATTTCATTGGGAAATTGTAAATCATCCCTTCTTGGTTTATGCAGCATTTTCTTCATTTTTTTAAATTTCAAAAATTATTTCAAAATGCATTCTAAGCTTATTTTCTGATGCTTGAATTCCACTTAATAACACAGCTTTAAAATGATTTCCAAAAAATAATTGATAATTTAGATATTTTTTTTCTTTTGCAGAATAATATCAAAAAATAAATGTAATTATCTTCTTATAAATCCGTTGGTAACGGATGTTGGATTTCAAGCGATAATTAAAGAAATCAAAAAACATTGATAAAATTATTAACTTTTATAGGGAATATAACAAATCTCAGTTTTCTTTGATTTTGGTTGTTAATAAAAATATTCATTTTTTCGTTTTTTTTTAATTTTCGTTAGAAATGACAAATTATTCAATCAGAAGGCTTCCATCTAAGCAATTAAATTAACCACGCATCCAAATCTAATATAAAGCATCATTATTTTTTTTGTTGCATATTTTATGGATCCGTTATACAAATCTTTAAATTATTTAAGACTTCGAAATTACACTAAGTGTTCCGATGCATGCAAGAGCATCCCAACAAATCAGCAAAAAGAAAAATGGTATATTATTTGCAAAGCAAGATCAGAAGAAAGTTGGACAGATTTTACCGAGCCCGATGATGAAACTGTTACTGATATGGTTTTTGATGAAAATGTCGTCGCAAATGTCGCTCGTCCAGGGACATCTTTAAGAACAGGAACATTACTTTCACGTGGCTCTCGCCCAATTACTCAAAGTGGTAGACCAGTTAGTGGGTATGCTCATACTCGCCCTCAATCCTCAAGAAAAATTTCAGGAAATCCTACAACATCAGCAACTTCCAGATTTAGCCGTCTTGCTACAGCTTCACTTGCATTTTCAGGGGATGAGCCAGATGTTACATCTATTAATACAGAAAAATTTGCAAAAAATCCATTTTTATCGCGAATCTTAGTTGATTATTTACTCCAACGTCTTAGAGATCCAATTAGAGCGATTCAATTAGCAGCAAGCTGTACAAAGATTTGCGGATTTGACGATTGGTGGTGGAAAAACAGGTTAGGAGTTTCATATTATCTTTTAGGCTTAAATCCCGAAGCAGAAGCCCAATTCAGATCATCACTTACAAATTCTATTGGTATAGAATCTCGTCTAGAGCTTGCAAAGATATATACAAGGCTTGATCAGCCAATTAAAGCACTTTCTGAATTAACCGTTGGATTTGACCAATTTCCACAAGAAATCCGATTCATTCTTGCTCAAGGAAGGATAAAAGATCTTCTCGGTGAATCTGGTAACGCAAGAGACCTCTGGAGACAAGCATTACAAATTGATCAATCTTGTGTCGAAGCAGCCGCTTCACTTGGTGCAGCAACATTTTACGAGGACCAACCTGAAACATCAGCAAAGTTTTTTGCTTATCTAAGAAAGCTCGGAATCGTTAATTCCGCAGTTTTAAATAATATTGCCATCTCAAACTTATCGTCTGGCAATTTTGACTACGTAGGACCTGCTATTGTTGCAGCCTTATCCATTGCCTCCAGCGATGAAGAAAGATCCGACGTTTGGTATAATATTTCTCATATCGCGATAACAGCAGGAGACATGATTCTTGCTCAACAAGCATTACTTATCTCCACAAGTCTTAATTCTTCTAATGGAGAAGCTTTTAACAACCTTGGTTTGATCGAATTAAAGAAAAAGAACGTTCAAAAGGCTCTTTCTGCTTTCCGATCTGCTACAGAAGCAAATCCAGAGATGCATGAACCATGGTTCAACTGCGCTCTCCTTTACCAAAGAATTGGACAGCTCCAAGAAGCTTATCTCGCTGCTGAACAAGCTGTAAAACTTTATCCAACATTTACAGAAGGAATTGACTTACTCAAATCAATTTCTGCTCAACTCAAGTGATATATTGTTTTGTTATTTTGTTTTATAAATCTTTATTATCTTACAAGTTCAAGATTATTTTTAGTAAGTTCCATTCACAAATTTATTGGAAAATTATTGAATAACTGCAAGTTCATGAAATGAATTTTGTTTTGGCAACAATAAAAGTTGATTCAGCATGCATAAATTAGTATCTAATTTCATAGCATAAAATATCTAATAAAAAGAATCTTTATGTGTAATTGTTTCTAACATTGTCTATTCTATGAAATTCATGATCAAAGCACAGGGTTTTACACGGGGTGCAAAAAAGAATCTTGATGTGTAATTCGTGCTAATATTGGTCATTCAATGAAATTCAAAATCAAAGAACTTTTATAATATTATTTTCCAATTCCAATATAAATAAGGACAACTTTTTTTGTAATATCTGAAGTAAAGCATTGGACATGAATTAATATCTTCTTTTTATTTTCATTATTGATCATATAAATTTTTCAAACATTGCATGATGTAAAGACAGGTATTTTTTTTAATTTAAACTGTATAAGAGATGGCACTAAGAATGCATGAATAATTCGTTATATCTTTATTAATTCACCTTTGAAGTCAAAAACATTAATCAGAAAATAGTCATCATTCCTTGCATTCTTTCCAGTTTGAGTTATTTTGAAAGCAACAAAATAATAATTAGTTTGAAGAGGAAATTCCATGATTTCATTTAGTGGAATATTATAATAATTATTTTCTAATACAACTGATGTTCCATCTTCTTTGATTCCTTCTAGTTTCCAATTTCTCAACAAATTAGAAGTACAGCATGCAGATCGTATAAAATATGAATTTGGTTTTAATTGATATCCTTTTAGTTCAGCTTTTAACCATGAATTAGGTACATTATTTGTATAAAAATCATTATATAAGTAAGAATTTATATTTGATAAACTTCCACTACAAACAGATGAAGCAGTCATTTCCATTTGAATTTCTTTAGAAACTTTTTCTACAATTTTTCTTTCTACAATTATTGGTGCATACTCAAAACTTATAGATTGATCTGTCATTTTCAGTTTATTTTGAATTAAATGTTTTTCGAAAGATATGAGAGATTTATTGGATATTTCAATATGATCTCTTATATTTGAATGATAATTCTTCAATGTTTCATTATAAATAGTTAATAAGTTGGATTCAAACGAGTTTTCAACTGAAAAATTATAAATTTCATCAAAAAATTTGGATGAACAAAATTGTAATTTGACATATCCAAATAAATCAAATAATGATCTATTCATCTTGCATATTTCTAAAAGGATGAAACCGAGTTTGTCTTCATTTTCAATTTTGAGTTGTTTTGATGTCAATATTTTTTCACAAAATTCAAATCCATTCTTGACAAAATTTCTAATGATTTCTTCTTCATTCAAACAATAAAAGTGTGAAGAAATGTACTCAATGCATTCGTTCATTGCCGTGGAATCATTTTCGAAAGCAAAAATTTCGTACTTTTTAAAAACGTTTTCGTTCGTAAGAGATTCGTCTGATTTAACATGTTCACAATATATTTGTGTTAGAAGTTGATTTCCAAAATATTTGCCAATTTCAAATATGTCATGAAGATGAGACTCGTCTCCAGAAAACTCAAGTTTGCCTGTTTCAATAAAGTTTAAAACGATATCAATTGAATCTTGACATATGATATCGAGATGTGTTTCCATCGATGTTATTGATTTATCAATGAAATACTTTTCTTTGATTAAATCTGAAAAGCAAATAGCGGATGACTTCTTTGTTTTGATGATTCGATCATTAATTTTCATATGAAAAGCACCACATTCAGTAATAACATTTGCACGCTTTAATTCATTGCAAAATTTAGTAATTTGCACCATGAAAAAAAAAAAATCGTGGATTTTTCCTCATCCAATACAAATTATGATAACAACATCACTCAACCATAGACGCTTTTTAAGACAAAATTTCTTCTTGGTAAATTTTTATTTTCTGACTTGATGGAAAAAAAGAAGGAACTGTCACTTTTCCTTCACTAGATTTTTTTTATTTCCTAAATGAGTATACAAAATAAGCTTAATGAGTACAGACTAAACGGGTACTTCATTGACTATGAGCTAAAATGTGGCGAAAAGACCTTTAAATGCCATAAAATTCTTCTTGCAAAAAATTCCACATTATTTAAAGAAATCTTTTCAAAGAAATCGGATGAACAAGTTGAAATTGCCGACTGCTATGAATCGGAGTTTGAATCCATAATGGAATCGGTTTATACAAATAAATTGGAATTTACCCAAGATAACGTTGTCAAAATCTTGGGATTTGCACTTGCCTATGGCTTCAAATCAATTACAAATACAGCACGCACAAAAATGACCGAATTTCTCCAGAAATCGAAAGACAAAGTTCTTGAATACTCAGAACAGATGGTTGAATTCAATATATCAGATGAAGAATCAAATAGAGCCATCCAAAAGATTATTTGTGATAACTTTGATAATTATGATATTGATTCTTTACTCGATAAAATCACATCAACCTGTTTATACTTATTACTCAGCTCAGACAAACTTAAGGTGCGTTCCGATGATTATAGGTTGGCCTTGATCGACTTATTCCATGAGCGTAGACCAATTACAGACCAAAAAATCAGATATGATCTGGCAAATCTCTTTGATTTCCATCCAGAAACCAACGAATCAGCCTACAAATTCATCATTAACCACAAATGTATGTGGGCACCTGAAGAATTAACGATCAAATTGTACAGAATTGCAATTAAAAACAGATTACAAATTGCAAGACAATATTCAGAGGCCACGAACACTTTTGCAGATACCAAATCACGATGGATCGATTTCCAGTGGTGTTCACAGATCCATAATTCCGAGATTTCGGAAGATTCAATCAAAATTGAGTTAGTTTCATTCGCAAGGACCTTTGGAGGCTTCATAGATGCAGTAAATCCACGTACATTTGGTCTAATTGGCTGTTCAAGCTCCACTCCCTTTGGTTTCAACAAAAATAAAAATTCGGAATACAAATGCCAGTTCAGTTCCAGCGGAATCTTCATGGACGACAACAGATACTTCGCTTCTATGGGTGATGCATATATAGAAGTTAATTTTGGAGAAGATTCTTCGTTCAAAATCTCAAAAATTGAAATTCAGTCACTTCCGAAATCAGTTGGCGAATTTAAATGGAATAAATTCCCTCTGAAATTCGCTGAAATTAAAAACGAAGAAAAAATTAAAAATGAGGAAAATCAAGTCAATTTAGATGAAACAGAAATAATGAAAAAGAGACTAGGTGTCCCTGAATCACTCGATGTTCTTGTTAATGACAAATGCGCTGTTCAAAATGTTAAATTTGAAAGAAATGGTGAAGAAAAGGTTTTTGTTTGGTCCCATACATTTGATGATGAAACGTCCAATAAAGTTAGAATCGCAATGTCTAAAAACAACAACGCTGGTGGAAAAGTCCTTCGAATCGGACTTATTAAAATTTATGGACACTTTGTTTGATTTTTTTTTATTTAATAAACACTTTATTAATTGTCTCTAAATGTATAACATTTACACATGTGATCAACAGCTATTTATAGAAAAAAAATTTATACTTTTCCGACGTTTTGTTAGGGGCGTGAAGCGACCAAAATGTCGGAAAAGTGTAATTCTCAGATAGATGATTATTTTTGCTTTTAATGCCGAACAGCATTTGAATCAAAAATAATCGTATGTCTGAGAATTTTGATTTTTTTTGATCTCGGAGAAAAGTCAGTGAATATCAAATGATAGAGTATAGTATTTATTCTTATATATCAGATCATTATTGGTATTCTATTTTCATCTTTACTTCTTAAAAATCATTTGAGGAAATGTTAATTTTTCGTCATCATTATTTTTAGGAGGATAAGACTTTTGATAGAGCTCTCAGAAAAAATTGAGTATTTTTAATCCTCGGAGCGCACCTTTAAACTCATTCTCTTTGTCATAGTCTCTTATTCAGATTTTTGAAATAGGTTCACGAAATATTGATGTAAAGAAAACAATTGGGAGACTTTGTATGTAGGAAAATGGTTTTAAAGATTCGTGGTATTTTCCTTTAATATTGTTACTAAAAATCACACACAAGATTTATAATATGTATGGTAAAACTTTTGATTTATTATCTTAACATTTCATAATTGATATCGATTTTTCTGGTTTCAAATATAAGTTTTCCATTTATGACATACACACTTTCCCTATCACAGGTTTTATCTCTTAAATCGTCACATTATTTCTTATGGTAAATGAGTTACTCATAGAAGAAGAAATGATAAAGTTTTCTCATGATTTTTTTTTTCACCTAAAGAAAAAATAATTTAAATGAATAAACTCTTATGCAACCATTTCGGAAATTATTCTCTTAAGCAAATAACACCGTGGGTAATGCTTGTATTATCATCAATCCTTTTGATCATTGTTTCCCCTCTTTCTTTGATGAATCAAACAAAAGTTGGTGATTGGACAGAACAAAAGTCAATTGATAGAATGTTTTTTGGATTAAACAAGGTAGGGTGTTTGGATAATTTAACAAGAAATTTCCAACTTGCAAATAAAACTATTGATATCGCAATTTCAGCTCCTGATGATGATTTTTCGTATTCCCAACTATTTGCAAATCTTAGCTCTTTGAAACCAGCTGTTAAAATCCGTATTTATACAGATATGCCTAAATCATCAATTCCATCAAACTTAAATTATATTCCATTCAATCATTCAGGGTACAAATTCAAAGCAAATTTCTTTATAATAGATTCCAGTCATGTCTACTTTTTCGGCGGATACAGTTTCCCAAAAGAAACGAGTAATAAAGAGGGTGCTTTTTGTTATCTATACGAAGTTGAGAATCATATACTTCTTACCAAGGATATGGAGTCAATTTTCAATTTCCTTACCTTAAATAAAGAACATTTTACAAATAAAGTCATCCAACGCAGATATCTGACTAACATGGATAACTCTTCGAAATACAAACTGTTATTACAGCCATTTGATATATTCCCACTTGGAAGAAACAATTTTAGCGAAGCATTTTCAGATATTGCATTTACAAACAAAGAAAGAGCAATTATAACAGGTTCATTGCTACAAGATAACTACGATTCATTTGATCATGCCAGAAAAGCTGCAATAGTTTTTGCTCTTTTAGAACAAACTCATAATAATGATCGCATTACGAGATTGGTCATCACTAGCCAAGAATATGAAAAATATGAGAAGTATTATTCAAATATGAGCACTGAACTTGCAAGATTAAAGTATTATTATTGTAATTTACCAATTGGCTGGACAACAATACAAAGCGTGTTCAGTTTTGCATATCTTCCTATGAATTTGGTTGATATTTTCGATCCGAAGGTAATTTCTGTTGGAATTGAAGGAAAACTTAATTTTTTAAGCACTTTTTACGGTTTGCATGCTGATTTAGAAAACATCTGCAAACAATTCAAGAAAGAATGATAATACTCACATAGTTCGAGAACATTTGTTTAATTTATTTTGTTATTAAAATAAATCTGTATAGTTTTATATATATCATTACATAATTTATCTATATACCCATCACACCGCTCTATTATGTATCCACAAACTTATCTTCTTATATCAAATCTTTGGAAGAGTGAAATTAGATATTACTGAAGGTAATGTGCATATACATGAACTGATGTATATACCACACATATGTATATCAAATGAAATCATGCATTTCATAATCCAGAATACAATATTGTACAAGCAGATTTAAAATTTATACTGATTAGTAATTAGTATGCTGTCGTTTATAATTTTTGGATATCTTCGAAAAATCAATTTTCATTCGTTCGAATTTTGCTGCTCGGATCAATTTCCATTCTTTAGTTGAATCTGTTCTTTAGCAATAGAATATGGTTGGATTCAAAACAAAATTTTCTGATGTTTTCCTTTTTGGCTTTTCACTGCTTATCAGTTAATAAAAACAACTATTATACATGCGATGAGATAGAATACTGCAAAAGGGATAGATTCATCGACGAAGAAGACTGGAAACTTATAGATTTCAAGTCAGAAAAAGAAAAATTTATTGGTACAATAACAAAAGGCAATAAAACAGAAAGACTACATTTAAACATAACATTCCATGCTAATGATATGATCAGAATTAGATTCGAACCAGTTGAAGAAAAAGACTTCGAAAGATACGATATTTCAAAGGAAGAACTGATAATTAATCAAACTATTATCAATGAAACTTCAGAAATCAAAGTTTCCGAAGCAGAAAATTTGATCAAAGTCGAAAATTCAAAATATAGAATCGAAATTTCGAAATCTCCTTTCAATATTATAGTTTACGAGAACAATTCCGCTGTGTTATCACTCAATGATGATAATAAGGCTATTTTCAATGTTGGTGGCAATACAAAATCAAATAATAAATACGGAGATAGAGATATTGCCCTCTCATTCAAATTCTTAACACCAGAAACAAAATTATCAGGTGTTCCAGCTCATACTTTCCCTATCCAATTACCAGATACTAAGATAAATCTCAGTCCATTGATGGATCCATTGCGCCTCTTCAATACAGACATCAATTCGTTCGAAGTAAATTCACCTATGTCAATGTACTCGGCCATCCCTTACATCATTGGCCGCTCAGGTGAGAAAACAACTTCAATATTATGGTTAAATGCAGCTGAAACATGGATTGATATCGAAAAAACTACAGCTAGATTCATGTCTGAAACAGGTTACATCGATCTTTTCATTTTCTCTGGAACACATTCCTCAGTTATTAATTCTTACACTTCATTAACCGGTCGCCCAGTTTTACATCCAATATTCGCTCTCGGATACCATCAGTGTCGCTGGGGATATATGGATAGCGACGAAATCCGTGACATTTCGAAGAATTTAGACAATTCTGAAATTCCACACGATGTTATGTGGCTCGATCTCGACCATACTAACGACAAAAAGTATTTCACCTTCTCTACAGGCTTCCACGACATGAAGAGGCTTCAAAAAGAGTTCTTTAAGAAAGGAAGGAAAATTGTTGCTTTAGTTGACCCACATCTTGCTGCCAAAGAAGACTACGACATTTACTTAGATGCTCGCGATAACGGATACTTCGTAACAACGGAGACAGGCGGAGATTTGAGATTAAAATGCTGGCCAGGAGTCAGTGCATGGCCTGATTACATGAATCCAGAGGTAAGAGACTGGTGGTCATCATTATTCGAGTACGAAAACTACAAGAAGAGCACAAAAATTTTACATATCTGGAATGATATGAACGAACCAGCAGTTTTCGATATCAAAGATGCTACTCTTCCTCGTGATAGCTTGCATTACGAAGGCCACGAAGAAAGAGAAGTCCACAACATCTATGGCCACATGATGATCTCATCAACTTACGCCGGATTGAGAAGAAGGAATCACGATGAGAGACCATTTATTTTAACAAGGTCTTTCTTCGCAGGAAGTCAGAAATTTGCTGCAGCCTGGACTGGAGATAACTCTGCAACATGGTCCATGCTTGCAAACTCCCTTCAGATGGTCATTACTTCTGGTATCTGCGGTATGCCATTCAACGGTGCAGACGTTGGAGGTTTCTTCGGTTCACCGGATAATGATCTCTTATGCAGATGGTATCAACTCGCTGCATGGACATATCCGTTCTTCCGCGAGCACTGCCATCACGAAAGTGCACGTAGAGAGCCACATCTCTTCACTTCAGATCGAATCCAGATAATTCGTGAAGCAGTTAACGACCGTTACTCACTTCTTCCACTCTGGTACACCCTAATGGAAGAGGCCCATAGAACTGGCAATCCAATTGTCCGACCACTTTGGTGGCACTTTTCTGATCGTAATGATGAAGATATTGCATTACTTGGTGACACGATTTTAGTCGCTCCTATTGTTAAACAACAGGCAGTCGAAAAGGTTGTGACACTTCCTCAAGGCGTATGGTACTCCTACAGAAAGATGAGACCAGCAAGAGGCGAAATAGTCATGAAAAACATTAAGAATATCATCCCTGTTTTCATAAGAGGAGGAAAAATTTTCGCTAGAAAAGATGCAAAAGTGACATCGACGGTTTCCCTCAAGAAAGCACCATATACGATCGTCGTTGCTCTTAACGAAAATGGCACAGCATCCGGATCGCTCTATATTGATGATGAACACTCTTTCAATTACGAAAAAGGCGAATTTTGCAGAGTACACTTCAAATTTGAGAATAACGTTCTGACATCTACCGTTGAAGGCGATTTAGAGGTCTTCAAGCAGAAGATATCTCGCATTGAAATCGCAGGTATCAATAAAGCTCCTTCTGTCGTCAAAATGCCGAAATATAATTGCCAATTCACTTATGAAAGAGGAGTTTTGTCAATAACTGAAGTCGATCATGTTATAAGTCAGCCTATTGATCTCCAAATCCAATATCCCCAAGAGGAACTCTGATGAATTAATTATTTCATAAAAAAATTCATGTTTATTCGCTAGAATTACGTTAGAAAATATTTTAAAAACATCATTATAAGAGTTATTTCGGAGATATAATATCTATATATAATATCGACCATTATCTCTTTCAATCTGCAAATCAGTCTAATTTTTATATATTCAAATTTCAGATTTAAGGGTGCACCCGTATGTACGTTTATTTGAGAGGAGGAGGATTACACTCTCAATTTTGAGGGATTCGTTAGTTTATTTTCTCGATGAATATGCAATAAAATTTGATTTTTACCTTATCAATATACTTCATATAATATACACATGTTCATGTAAAAACTTTTTCCCAAAATCCTCAGGAATTAAGGGATTTTTGAATTTTAAGAATTTTTTTCGATTTTTTTCGAAAAAAAAACATTTTCAGAACAGCCTTAACGGCTAAGATTTAGGAACAATGTTAAGTATCAAAAAGAAAGGAGGTCTGATATAGACAACATATATCGTTGAAGGTTGAAAAAATCTCTAATATTTGAGCCCAAAATTTCAAATTTTAATTTTTTGAAAAAAGAGGCCACCCGTATGTACGTTTATTTGAGAGGAGGAGGATTATATTTTTGAAAGGGTGAAACATTATGAATATGTTAATTATATAATAATATGTATTATTATAAAAAAGAAAAAATAAAGCACGTTAAAAATTTTCTTTCTTGATTTTTTACAAAATCTACTTAGAATTATGCAAAATATGACTAAATAATTATAAATTTCAAGCTAAATTTTAATTTTGATAAATAATTTAAATTTCAAAATATCAAGTTCAGTTCGACTATGTATGTAGTAATTCCTCAATAAAGTGCCAAAACCCTATTAAAATATATGAACATTTTCAACATTTTAATGTTTTTATTTAAAAATTTGATGGAATATGAGCTTCAAACAATTATTATGTAAATAAAAATAATTAAATATATGTATTTATTCGTATTACAACCATAGTAAGTCGATTCTTCCTTTCTTCTACTGAGTTTTGAATTTGATTTCGAATTGTAAAGAGATTCAAAGGGAAAATACTAGCGGATAAAAACTACCTCCATGAAAGGGTCATAATGGAGTCAAGTTGTATTTTTTGATATTTTTTGCTTTTCGAGCCTAAATAGGTAGCCAAGATAATGCCTAAAATAAGGTTCTAAATTCTGAAGTTTACATGATCCTCTCGTGTGCACCCTTAATGTAAAATCATTCCTCTCAAATTTCAATTTTCACAGTTGTGGTTAGCATAAAACACCAAGTGACTAATCGAAAATAAGGGACATTAACATGTAATAAATCTTAAGATCCTATTCAAAAAATTTAGAGCACGAAAATGACATGATCACCCCACTATCCTAATAATATGTATTTATTATATTTAAAGCGATTTCTTATTTCTTAACCTCCCGTCACTTTTTTAATTATTAATTTTTTTTATCGATGCCTCACCCAGCAGAAAGTAATTTCAAATACATTTTAAATCAGAAAGATTTCAACTTGGAGAAGTTTATCGGCAAATACTTCCCCGAGTTTTGGAGAAGCATTTTAGATTATGTTAAATCTAATAACAAAAGGAGCGAAAAAGGCATTTTTGGAAAGACATATAATATCGATTTCCAGAGAATTGCCCAAAGTCTTACCATTATTCTCCCTAAAATTAAAGTAGGCTCGTATTCTCCTGATAAAGTTGCAGATGCAGATACATTTTTCGGAATGATCTTCCATCCAGACTCACCAGAAGATTTACGCCAATTATTTGCCCCAATTTATCTTACCTTCCTTGAAACATGTAACGATGCAGAACTTCCTACACTTAAATCCTCTTTTAAGTATTTTATTCCTATCCCATTCCTCGGTAAAAATGAGCAGGAAAAGGCTGTACTCAAGACATTTATCGATAGAGAGCCAGAAGCAATTCTCGGTGATGAAACAGCAGTTAAACAAGTCACCAACGTTCAGGCTTACATCGAAATGCTTCTCAAATGGATTTTAAAGAACTGGGATCACAGATCCGGCTCTTTAATGCAGCCTTTGTTCCAAAATACTTTAAGTGCTATTTATTTCAAAGAAGCAGAGGCTACCGGTTGGGATTTACCCGTCTACCGTTGTTCTACACCAGTTACATCGGATATCCATGAAACAATCTGCAAGTTCTTCGGAGATCTTTTTAATGAAGATCACAACTTCAATATTCTCCTCGAAAAGAAAACATTGAACTTCATTATCGAAATACTTAAATCCTCAGAAACAGCCTGCTCAATTGAAGCTACGAAATCGTCTTTACAAGCCTTAATCGCGATTGCTTCAAACGGAAGCCTTAGCGAAGGTTACGAATTGAACGACCTCATTTCTAAGGCCGGACAAATCGCTATTGACCTTTTCGTAAACTCAAGGGACGGACAAATCGCTCTTTCTCTCAGCGAGTTCGCCTTTTGGCTTTTCCTCGACAAGGAAACAGGCTCCATCGATAGCCGCAAGAAATTGATCAACGACATGCTTTCTTACGCATTATGTGATGATCAAGCAGCCGCAATCATGATGGGCTCTCTGATCGTACGCCTCTTATTAACAGGCGACACAGAAAATTTCATTTGGGATACAGTAACCGATCATATCCTTAATAATGAAATTTATGCAGCGACTGCAGCAAAGCACATGCAACTTATCGCCACAATACAATTCTCAAGCGTCTTTAATATCAACAAGGATACAATTTTCGAGAACTGCAGCCAAGCAATCGAACGAAATCAGAGAAATAAAATTACTACACCGTTTGACTTCGTCGCACAGAACATTGAAGCCATTATTAAGAACCCACCTGAGATTGTCCACGACAAAGTCAAGATGTCTTGGCCAAAATTCTCTCATTTCAACGATACTCTCAAATTAGTTCCATTTACTGTTGCAGATTTGACTTATGAGACCGACGAGATGTACAATGGATTGGCTGCCATGATTGATTCACTCAGCAGATACCCAACATTCGACTCTCCAAAGGCTCATGAGAACGGATTTGCCGTTTTGAACTCATACTACGCCATGTTTGCTACATTAAGACTCATGCCACCGGGCATTCAGTATTCCCACACAAGAGCATTCGAAATCGCTTCAAGACCTCTATTTTCCGGATTAATCACCGAAGAAAACATACCAATACAAACAAACGCTCTCAAGACACTTGGCGATTTACTACTTACTCAGGACTTGAAGAACCATGTTACCGATGAAATGTTGTCTCATTGGTACAGCTGCCTTCTTCTTACGCTCATGAGCTCCGACCATGACTTGTCCAAGCTCGCCTTCGAGTCAGCAGTCTCAACAATGATGATCGGATTCAAAGGATCCGGAATCTTGGCTCCAACTCTTCTCAAGTTCGTTTCCAATGTAAATATAGAGTCGCAAAGTGTTCTCTCATTGATCTCCAGCTCAGCGATCATGAGATGCCCTCATTCCATGGACAAGACATTCTATGACTCCATTAAGTCAAAACTTGACAACCGATCACATATTCTGAGGCCAGATTGGAAGTCACTTTTGACACAAGAAAGTGACAATTTAATACCCGATTTATTGAAAGCCGTTGACAAATTGGGTGAGAATGATAGCGAATCCAACATAGAAATACTATCCACAGCATGTTCCACAATAATCATTGATGAAATCCACTGTAAGAATCCAGATAAAGATGTCATTTCATTTTTACTCAAACACCTGACAAATGCTGTCAAGAAACAGTCAGAACCAGCTCTCCAGATGTGTCTCGCTGTTGCACAACACTCAAATCAGATCATAAAGATCTGTAAAAAACCTTATTACCAACATATTAAAGAATTGTCTAAAATGGCCGACCAAATAACAGTAAATTCAGAGCCTCACTTCACTTTTGCATATATGCATATTATGACCACCATATTAGTTACATCTCTTGATGCCGGTCGCCAGCACGCCCATTATTTCAATGATTTATTGACGAGATTCATCAACGAAACAGTATTTCCAAACGAATATCCATCACAAATCCAACAATTTGCCATTTCTGCCAGAGAAATGTTGTCAATTTTCTTAGCCAGTTATCCATTCACTGACTGTCCATCAATACCAAGTGGCAGATGTCCGAAGAGTTCTGCACAACCACTGACAATCATCATGCCAAATGGAACATATATCACTCCAGAATTAATTGACGAGAAAACGACGAGTTATTTGGTACAAACAAGAGTTGGACAGTTCATTTGGAACATGACAAGTTACACAGATTGCTTCACAAACGAAGAATGCAAATTAACATTATGTGAAGAAAAAGGAGAACCAACAATTCAGTCAATAAACATCGATGTTCCACAGCAAGAGTTCACAAAGATATTCACAGACATCGTTGAGGGATTCAAAGAAGAATTCCACATGGACTACAAACTCGATGACATCAAGGAAGACAAAGAAAACCTCAGCCAAGCGATCGACGACATCAACAAATACTACGAAGAATACGTAACAGCGAACACTCATCAGCCAGCGAGGAAGATCAGGCCTCCTCTCGAGATCGAAAGCAAACCATTCGCAGGACTCAACGCTATTGGAATGGTCGAACCAAAGCAGGCACACGAACTCCAGAGAACAACATTCAACAAACAGGACGAACAGATGAATGTTTCAAAGAACAACATCGAAACATTGTTCGTCAACATATTGAAGGCAGATCACAGATGGCAGTGGAAAGCAGCCATTGGATATGTCAGGGATGGAATTACAGACCAGTTGAAGATATTGATGACGAAATTCGATCAGGTTTCTCCTCGTTTCAAAGAGTTTATTTCATTACTCGGTTGGAATGTTTCATTGAAGAATTGGCCAATATATTCCGGTGGTTTAGATGTAATGAAAGAAAACAATGGCGTTTCAAGTATATTTATTCCAGGCTTTGATTATGAATTGATGTTCCACGTTGCTCCTCTTATGCCTACAAATAAAAAGGATGAGCAACAAGTAGATAAGAAGAAACACCTAGGCAATGACCACATTCAGATATTGTTTGTTGAAAGTGATTTGCAATATGACCCATTAACAATCACTTCTCAGTTTAACTTCGTAACTATCATTGTTTATCCATTACAGACTGGTTTGTACAGGATAGACATGCACCATAGAGATGGATTGAAGTGGTTCGGACCTCTCCATGACCCTGTAGTTGTGTCTAAAGAATGTTTGTCTTCATTAATTAACTCGACAATCAACATCGCTATGAATAACTTCAGAATTGCTCAGTGCAACTACTCACATCCAACTCTTGACTCACTAAAGAAGATACAACAGATTACAACGGATTATGTAAGAACAGAACAAGATGATGAATCAACAATCCAAGAATTGCAATTGTATGTCAAACCTCCATCACCAGAATCTTAAATAAAAAAATTTCGATTTTTTTTTAAATTATTTTTGACAACTCCAGCTTTTTATCTAAATTTTCAAAAAGTTTTAAATCACCACATAGTACCTTATATTATTGCTAAACTTTTTTGCAAATATAATAAAGATATTTTGATATAATGCGAGCATGCCAGAAAGTGGCAAGTGCACTTTTAATTGTATTACGATATTAGAATATTCGAAATATTAAGGATGCACTAACTAACTTCTGACAATCTATCAATTTTTTTTGACATCCAAACTTTATGTTCGAATTTCTAAGGTGAAGAGTTAGTATTTTGGTCTGTAAAAAGTTATTATAAAACATTATATAGTACCTAATGTGGCTGTTATTCTTTTTTGTTATAATATATAATAAGTCACATCCTGGTGACAATGGAAGATGTCATAAAGTGGTAAACATGAGGATTTTGAAATTAAATTTAGAGTTATTAAAAATAACATAGGGTTGTTAAAAATATCAAAAATTAGCGTTGTGAAGACACCATGGTGTCTTATAATTTTCCTTTCCTTATTGGCGGGTATAAATAAATGCGCCAATAGATTGAAGAAGAAGAATTGTTTTTCTCTTAATGAACTTTAATCCTTTTGATATAAGAATATTAAAAACATTAATATAATTTCGATTTCGGAAATTAAATTTCCAAATTTTTTGTCGATTTCGGAAATAACAGGATCCCGCATCCAACACGCAACAACAAAACACAAAACACACTTTTTGGTTCTTTCATCGTTTTAATCGTAATTTATGTAATACATGATTTGGATAAATTTTACAAAAATAGAACCTATATTATATTCTTTTCAAAGATTCTTGCAAATCATCAAAAATAATTGTATTTTAAAAAACGATCAAATTATCCTTTCATTATTTTAAACTTAAATTAGTTTTTATGATTGACTAAAGCAATCATATTTATTCATCATTAAATAAACAAAAAAATAATATTTGAGAGTTATTTCAAAAAAAAAACACATTGAATTTATTAATTTGTCTCAATTTCAGTATTATAAATTTTTATAATTTCAATATTTTGAAATACACTTTTTAATATTTCAATATTTATGATATTTCAATGTATTAAGTGGTCTCAAATTGAGCTTCTCAAATATAAGTTGGCCTATTCAAATAATAAAATTAAATAATATTTAAAATAATAAATAAAGTGATTGAGGTCATAGCAAAACGGCTGTTTCAGTCATTAATTCTTAAAAATAAAAAGGTAAAAACTAATAAAATGGTAAAATTCAATAGTGTCTGTGCTATCGTTCAATTTAAGGTGTTTTGAAACCGCATGACACATTGAATTTTTGAATAGTGTATTATGGTTTGACAGACACCAATGAAAAAATAAAATGATATTTATTTTAAATATATAAGATCCTTATATAAAATATAAATATTTTATCGTTTAATTTTCTTGTTTTAGAAATGTTTTTTATTGAAAAATCAATAAAACTAACTCCAAAATAAAATTTTTGATTTAAAGACACTATGATGACACCAGACAAATCTTCCAAGACACCTATCGTCGGGAATCTAACAACCCTAAAATAACCCCTCTCACATACTTTATCACTTATGCATGAATGTTACTTTTTAACTAGTTTTTGTGTTACTCAAGGAATGAATTATATTTCTAACAGAAAAACTTACAATATCAAAATACTAGGGTTGTACAAACTGGCACAATTTTGCGGGCCGCCTGCCAGGAGCTGGCACGCGGCCAAAATCAAAAAAGTGGCCAAAAATCGGGCCTCGTGGCGTGGAAAGGATGTCGCCCTTCGGGCTCCACCTTTTCCACGCCACTCGGCCTATGACCACAATTATATAATATGCTATATTATTTTTTTCTTCTTTTCTCTTCTTTTTTTTTCTTTTTCTCTTTTCTTTCTTCTTTTCCCTTTTCCCTTCCTTTTTTCTAGTTTTGGAAAGGAAAAAGTAAAAAATTTAATAATTAATTTTATTACTGAAAATATACTTTTTAGCTTATATTGTAAGCTGTGAGAGTTTTAAGTGATGGAAGATATAAATCAAATTTGAAATTCAACAAATCTTTGTTATGATTAAGTTGAATATTGTACTCTAATTAGAAGTTTTCAGTTATGAACTCAGGTTTATATAATAAAAGTATACTCAAGATAATAAAGAGGTTTTTAAAATGTAGATCTGAAAATCAAACTACCATGTTTGATATGATTAAGTTGAATAATGTTATTTTATTAAATGGTTCAAATCTGTGAAATCGGCAATTACAAATTAAAGGCGTAGTTCAAAAAATTAAAGAGATTTTAAAAATTTAATATCAGAATTAAACTAAAAAAGGATTTAGTTATTCGTAATTATTCAGAAAAGGTTAAAAGATAGGGTAAGTAATGAGACTTGAGTGAGATGTGAGAAATCATATGTAAATAATTAGATATCTGATGTAGTAGTAAGTAAGAGAGTTAGATCTGGTTAGTAAGGTCGGAGGTTTAAGATCTGATGAGTAAGTAGTAATGAGAGTTAAGATCTGGTTAGTAGGTAGTAATGAGAGTTAAATCTGGTTAGTAAGGTCGGAGAGTTAAGATCTGGTTAGTAAGGTAGTAATGAGAGATCTGCGGGCAGTAATGATACATCTATGAGTACATAACTAAAACCTGAGTTCTATGAGCGAAATCTGAGAGCTAAAGCCGAGAGATCTAAGGTAAGTAATGAGAGAAGAGAATTTGAAATTTTACAAAATACGTTTACTCATACAAAATAATTCGCATTCTTTTATAACGAATCTCAATGCCAATTAATACATAAAACAGATTTTAGCAATCAATTGCAAGTTTAGAAAGATTTTATTTATAATCTCAGCCAAATTAACAAATATTTTATTGATTTCGTAAAAAATAGCAATAAAACATAAAAATATGACATTCTATTTTTCCAAAAAAATTTCAAAAATCATTTTTTAACATGAAATTTATATTTTTTAATTTTTTTTTAAATTTTGAATTTTTTTTTGGAATTTTCAACCATGTCAAAAGTCGGGATCTACAAATGTATTCTCTTTGACATAGGATAAAAACATCCTTTCTTATAATTTCATTGTAAAATAAAATTTTCTTAAATTTATTGAATCCAAACTCAACTTTGCAACATTTTATTATCATAAAAACTAAGAAACATCAGGTAAACTTCAATTTGGAGAGCTTAAAATCATATCTAAATTGAAAAATAAGGGGAAAAATTGTAAAAAAAATCTCATTAGATGGGGCAAAAAGTGACTTTTTTAATGTGTTTTTTAAAAAAATCGTGCCAGCTGGCCAAAAAAGGTGTGCCAGCAGGCGTGCCAGTTTGTACAACCATACAAAATACTCAAACAGTAGTTTTTAATTTCCGTACTTTTTTTTATTGACCGTAATTGCCCATTAATTTATTTTTTTCACACATTTTTTAATGAATTTTTATGCCAAAACAATTTGAAGTGGTTGGAATATTTTTAATATATACATTTACTTAAAGACAAAATTTCTCAAGAAGTATGTTACTTGCTAAGATAATTATTCGACTCTGAGAATATGTTGCTAAATGTCTAATAATTGTTTGCTCTCAAAAATGCTTTCATTTCTGTATTATTACATCTTTCGGCAACTGATATCAATTTATTTAAGTCATCAATAGTTGCACCATGAGTTATAAGATATTCGAAAAATTTAACGTCTCCTTTTTTAACTGTATAGTGCAAAGCATCCTTATTTTTAAATGTGCGAATATTGACATTACAACCTTTATCTACTAGCAATTTTGCAGTTTTTATTCTATTTTCTTTTATTGCATACATTAATGATGTCCTTCCACGTAGATCTATTGCATCGATGTCTACACCCTTTGAATCGTAAAAAAAGTTTAATGCATCATTATTACCTGTGCTGGCTGCAGCTAAAGCCAATGCCACATTAATTTGTTGCATGTATGAAAATCTATCATATAAAAAATTTAGAAATTCAATATTGCTGTAGCAAGCAGCAGTGTAATAAAGATGTGCATTAAAATTAATGTGTATCTCATCTAAAAGGTACTTTATACAATTAACTGAACTAAAAATTGCAGCTATTTCAGTAATATCGCGTTGATCGGTTTTTGGGATTATTACGTTAACAGAAAATAAAAATTTGACCACTTCCAGTTGATCGTTTTGAATTGCAGCTTGAAGAGGAAATAATCCTTTTGAACTGGTTTTATTTATATCACAACCATGGTTATAAAGTAATTTAACAATGTTGAGATTCCCTGAAGCACAGGCCACCATCATAGGATTGAAAAAATCATTTGTTTCACAATATAAATTTATATCAGGATAAGTTCCCAAAATTTGTCGAACACCAGTTTCATCGCCCTCTTTTAACTTTGTAAGAAATTGTGTTTCAATTATATGCGCATGTCCACTTGGAATATCAGTTTGGATTGATAGTTTTTTGCTTTTTACTGGTATTTGTTCTTGTGGTTCTTGTTTTTTGTCGTTAAAGAGAGTTTTTATTGATCTGAATAATGTAGTTAGTATTGGAATCTCTAAACTAGTCAAGATTAATTCGAATAAATTAAAATTTGAAATATAATCATTATCAGGAGACAATTTCATTATATCAAGAAGCATAATTTTTTCTGTTCTGGTGCATTCATTAAATACTTTCGAGATTAACTTTGTTGCAAGTTGATTATTAAAATCTATTCTTTTAATTGAACTATATAATTCATCAAATGTCAGAAAGCTCATGACATCATCCAATTCTAAGAACTCGGGAAATCGTTTAACAGTATCATCAATGTTCATTGAAAACATAAAAAAAATAAAATAACACTTTTTGCCCGTACCTCAGCACTTTCCTAAAAAATGCCAATAAAACATGGTTCTCTGGTGTATTTGATTTTTTTTGAAGCGAAGTTAAATTTGAAATTAAAAATAATTCCCCTCCTATAAAAATTCATTAAAATACCACTTGTAAACATTTTTATGCTTTACTGATTTTCAATGATTAAATTAATCTTATTTCTGTCTGATTTCACTTTTTTTAAATTGAAATTTCTAATTCAACGTAAATTCAAAATTAAAATCAATGTTTCATCTTTTCGTCTTATTTGTTAGCTCTCGAAATATCACAATTTCGAAGCGGGGTCAAACATCAAAATATACTATCTATTATCCTAAAACAGAACGCGGCCAACAACCATGGTGGCGTACAGCAGCACGCGAGATGCAAGCAGGAATCAAAAACATCACCGGTGAAGTTATTCCAATGATCACGGACGACAACAAACTCGAAGGCAAAGGCATTTTTATTGGTCCTACTAAGTATTCTAAAGAAATGACAACTTTACGTTTTACAGATTTAGGTCTTGATGCATATGAGATCCGATTTGTTGGTGACGAACATATTATTATCAACAGTGGTTCACGTGGCACTATTTATGGTGTCTATGAACTTTTAGAACAATACGCTAAATTTCGTTTTTACACTACATGGATGGAATTCTATCCGTCAGCTGAAGAATTCAATGTTGATTCTGAAGTTAACATCAGTGACGTTGCCGCATATCAATATCGCCATATTTGGGCCACAGACACAGCATATGGTTATCTCCATAGTATTCGCAAACGAGTAAACACAGGCAGCCAAAACGTGGGAAATACATATGGTGGTTTCAAATGGTACACATTCGAAACACATACATTTCGTTACCAAATGCCAGTCAATGAATATCCACTTGAAAAATATCCTGAAATGTGGGCCTTGTTACCCGATGGATCACGATCTAGAAGTGCTCCTTGCCTCTCAAATCAAAAAGCCTTTGATGTTATACTTACCAATATCCTCAAAAAAGTTGATGCAGATAATACATCATCATGCATTGAAGTTGGGCATAATGATGATCACGAGTATTGCCATTGCCCTGATTGCTCTGCAAAGCAAACAAAATATGGTGATAGATACTCTGGAGTTATGTTAGAGTTTGTCAATCGATTGGCTGATGCAATTAAGCTGAAATATCCGAATCATATTATCAAAATGCTTGCATACTACATGACAGAAGACCCTCCATTTAATATTGTCGGAAGAGACAATGTCGCAATTAAGTTTTGCCCAATCAGAAATGACATCGGACACGCTGTTAACGAATCTCAAGATCTGGATACAATAAAATCCATTGAGAGATTAAAAAATTGGACTAAGGTTGTTAAGCATATTCAACTATTTGAATATTATACTAATTTTAATTACCCAATGCATATTTATCCTAATAACGATATGATAGGGAAAAATTTACAATTCTATGCAAAATTACATATAGAAGAATATATGGGAGAAGATGATCTATGGATCTTGAACAATCCATTTAGAAGAGTCCAGCACACACATATGACATATTATAGACAATACATACAATCGAAAATGATGTTTTATCCAGATCGTCCGCTTCGTTATTATGAAGATGATTTCCTCTATGGATTTTATGGGGCTGCAGCTGCTTCATATGTGCGAAGATACTTAGATGCTTCAGCTGAACTTGGAAAACTCAGACCAACGACTTCAATTCCATGCATAGGTGGCCCTATTTCTAGTATTCAAAGCGATAATTTCAATTACTACGCAAGATGGCTCTGGGGTAAAGCTGTTGAAGGTGCAATGGCATCAGGAACAGAAAAACAAATATTTAATACATTAATGGGAGAAATACCAGCAATGAACACAGTTTATACCATGGAGAAAGGTAAATTATGGCCATTAATTATTGACTCCAAAAGAAGGGTCAGATGCCAAGGCGCACAATTCGAGGAAATCGGAACAAAAATTTTAGACAGATGTCATAATTTATCATATGTTGATCCTTACACTAAAGGAATTTGCTATATCATACTTCACTTAGAAAAATATGGTCCTGCTGTTTATGCAGATTATAAGTTGTACAGTGAAGGTGTTCCAGCAATCATTCTTAAATCAGGTAAACTAAAAGCAATTTCAGGTGAAGAACCAGCATATGGAAAAGTTTTCTCTTTTACCAAGAATGGAGAAGAATTCATTGATAATGTCGAATGTTTAGATTTCTGTATGTTCCGTACATTCAAGATCACCGGTCACATCAACTACAACATGAAACTTATTAAAAACACAGACACATATGCCCATTTCAAATATGATCCATCAGACTATACACTTGAGAAAACATATACATTAAATGATGACAAATTAACAATCAATGTTAAATATCGATACAAAGGATGCAGCGATTGTGGAGATTTCAAAGGACGTCCAACATTATCAGTTCCTCTTGATTTAGGTGACAGCAAAGATGTTTTCTACAAGTTAGGTGATGGTCCATGGGTTCGTCCTCATTTTGATGTTGTTGCTACATTTGTTAATCACTTTGGTCATAATCTTAATGGAGAAAAATCATTCTCCATCTGCAATGGTCGAACTCGGAAAGGCATGCGATTTGAATTTCCTCCATCGAAAGTCAACTACTTCTCATGCTGCTTAAACAAATCATCTAAATTCATCAAAGTATACACAGGTCAATCATATCTTCACATGAGAGTCGGTGACACATATGAAACATCTATTTCATTATCTCCTCTTGAAAATGTTCTTGATTTACCACAGATTGATATGCCAAACTTAGACACGGGTGACAAAACTATCCATTATTATCCAATGTATTATATCAATGACATTGCATTCCCTAATGGTGGAGTCAATCAACACATTCCAGTTGCTGATGATCTTTCATTTGCTGGTATTTCATCATATGTCAAAACAGGATTACCTGACTTTGGAAGCAGACTTTCATTCTATCCAGAATATAATATTCCTTGGGTTTCAGGAATCTCAGGCGGAAGCTTCACATTGAGAATAAGAGTTCGATGCATTAATAGATCTGGAGAAGACACTCCTTGGTGGTTTGGATATACAACTCCAAACAAAGATACATGGGCGACAGGGGGTTCCAAATCTCAAATTCCTAAAGAAGATAGGTACTTTTATGTAGATTATAAAGAAAATCATGATCTCCATTCAAATACAAATTATTGGTTGCACCCATTAGCTATTTGTGGGAAGTATGTATGTTGAAGGATTCTATCTAGATCAAGACACAAGTTGGCCAATAACATTCAATTATCCATACATAAACTACACCCATAATGACAATCTTAAACCAATGAAAGAACCAGTGATGAAAGAATATACAACCGATCAGAGGACAAAAATCACACCAATTCCATACGAACCAAATAATTCCCACAAAGTCGGTTTGATTATTGGCTTATGCATCTTAGCAATTGCCATCATTTCAGGTATTGTTGTTGGTGTTTACTTCATCCACAAGAAACGATCCGAAAACAAATCTGACACCGAAAACGACCGAACTCCAACCATGAAATCAATCATTATTTAAGAGATCTCATCTTAACTTTTTATTTTAATTTTTGAGATGATACTAATACCTTTTGATTATTATTTACTTTTACTTATCATTTTCAATCATTTCTTTCATTTAAAATTGTGGAAGTTATATCAATTCCAATAATAACCAAAGAAGTTCTTTATCTCCTCGATGCTTTAAATCTGTTCAAAGGAGGAGTAAATCAAAGTTCCTGGATTAATTCTATTCAAGTTTATTAGTTGAGAGAATGAACTAGTTTTAATCAATATGTATTTATATTTATTGGATAATTTCCATCATTTATAGTACCAGATAGAATTAGAGAAAAATATGAGGAAATATTTCCTAAATATTATTATTAATAGTTATTTTAGAATATGTTACAAAATGAAAGATGTCTTAAACCATAACGATCGTTTTTATGGGATCGAAGTAGTTTTACAATTTCATTATTTCCTTTAGCATAATGAATTGCGGGCTTCCTGTCTTTATCTTTCAGATGAATATTTGCATCGAGCGATATAAGTAACTCCACCGCTTCTTTACAGTTATGTATTACTGCGTAATGAAGGGCTGTTTTTCCATTATCATCTTTTGAGTTAATATTAGCTCCTAGTGATATAAGTGATTGTAGAATTTTAATACTATTGCACTTTGCCGCAATATGAAGAGGAGAACGACCGTTTTTATATTCTCCATTAATACATGCTCCATTTAAAACATGATATTTAAATAAATCATAACAATTGATCTTGATTGCAATCTTCAGAGTAGTTTTATCCCTCGGAATTGCATTCACTTTTACTCCATGTTGAATAAAATATTTTACAAGTGGTTTAAGTCGAAAGTTTAGCATAGTAAGGAAGCACTTTGAAAATTCATTTGTTTGATCTAAAAGTATTAAAAATGCTTGAATATTATTGAACTTAAGGCACAAATCATCAATGATACTTAAATGGTATTCATTCATCAGAAAACAAACAAAATCGATGTTGTGTGAAATAATTGCATATTTCATAGATTCATAATTTGGTTCTTGATATTTTAAGCATTCGTTAATAATGTCAGGTTTTCCACTCAAAAAAGATAATTCGAGGGAAAAATGAGTTATTTCTGACTTGAATTCTGATAATAAATATTTAAAGCAGCGAACTGAACCGTGATAGCAGCATAATTCAATCAAAGAATATTCACTCAATATATATTGATTATATCTTTTTGGATAAAAAACACTCGTTAGTTTCATATTTTGATTAAATTCATCTTGAGTGGTAAATACTATGAATGATTCAATGTCATCATACAATATACTATTGAAAATTGTATTTTCTTTGTGTATTCGATTCGTTATATTTGAGCATATACATTCCTCGATTTCTTTTTCAGATAAGATATCAAGACATCTTTCCAGGCTTGCAATATTTAACATAAAGATAACTGATATAGACCACTCTCGAATTTTATAAAATTTTAGATTGAATTTTGAATAATATCTATCATATAGATTATAAGCTTCAAATAACTTTTTGTAAATTTTTAAATATGATGTGAAGTATCGATTGTTGTAAAGAGCTGCTGTACAAATTATTTTTTGTATTTTGTTTGGGGAGAATATCTTCGTTTCGATAAATGTATCTATGATCTTTCTATAAATATCTTCGATTTCAACTTCTTCAAAAGTATTGAGCTTGTATAATCCATTCATTATTTGATAGTACTCTTTACTTAATTCCAAAAGCTCTTGGTAATGTATTTTCATTTATTATTTTTTTACAAACCGTAAATTCTTCAGAGGGGGCACAAACTTGCCCAGTGAGGTGAAGTGAAAAGCGACAGGTTTACATGTCAGAAATGTAAAGTGTCAGATTTGAAACAAAAAATGGATTAATTTATTATTATATGATAGAGAGATTTGGTAAGTTACTATCAAATTTGTAAGTAAGGGAAAAAAAAGTAAGAAAGAAAAAAAATTTTTAAAAAATAAAAAGCCACTCGCTTCGCTCGCGGGAGACAAAAAGAACAGATTCGAAAAATAATTGTATGAAATTACGAAACTAAGCCACTCGCTTCGCTCGCGGCTTAAGAAAAGAACAGATTCGAAAAAAGATTGTATGAAATTACGAAACTAAGCCACTCGCTTCGCTCGCGGCTTAAGAAAAGAACAGATTAGAAAAAAGATTGTACGAAATTACGAAACTAAGCCACTCGCTTCGCTCGCGGCTTAAGAAAAGAACAGATTAGAAAAAAGATTGTACGAAATTACGAAACTAAGCCACTCGCTTCGCTCGCGGCTTAAGAAAAGAACAGATTAGAAAAAAGATTGTACGAAATTACGAAACTAAGCCACTCGCTTCGCTCGCGGCTTAAGTAAACAACATATTTCAGATTATCGATACTAAAAATTTTTTTATTTTATTACATTTTTTTTTTGCTTTTTTTTAAAACTTCTTAACTTAAATCATGGAATGTCTCAAAGACAAAAGTAGCATACAGCATGTAAAGCTAAAGAAAGATAATCATAATTAATACCTTAATTTTTAATATTACGCATTTTTAGGTGCAAAATTTAAAAACATTCTAATACAATAGAGCAGTTTCCAAAAGTAGCATACAGCATGTAAAGCTAAAGAAAGATAATCATAATTAATACCTTTAAAGTTTAAAATCTTGATTTTTTTTAAAATCAAATATTTATAACTTTAATACATACAGCTTAAACCTTATACTTGTTTTCTCTTGTGAGAAAGCAATCTTACAAAGCTAACAATCCTAAAAAATAAAGAATTAAAATTTAATAATTTAATCTAAAATTAAAATCAAAATTAAATAAAATGAGTTCTTTGTAATAATACTTTCAAGGTAGGATATATTTTAGTGGGATCTATTGAGTCATCACTAACAGCATTGAGCAATCTATTGAGCATTGAAATACTCTCGATTTTTCTTTGTCTTTTTACATCAATTTCTGCGTTAGTTGCTTTTTCCATGATCCTAATAACACGGTCATCTGCTGGATTTTGATCAATTTTGAGTTTGATAACGAAAGATGGTATCACTTTTGTATAAATAGTTAGTATCCCTAAGTTGCGTACTGTGGCACTGCGCGCCTCCGTACACCACTTAGCGGTTTTGACACTTTACGAAACCGGTAACGTATATTTTACAACACAACCATAACACCAACTTAACCTTAAATATTTACAAAACCATCTGACACATAAACGACTTCACTAACGACTTCACTAACGACTTCACTAACGACTTCACTAACGACTTCACTACCGTCCTCACTAAATAAAAATAACCTTATTTTTATTTTTTTTTTAATTTTTTATTTCATTACAAAGACATGTCCGACTACATTTACTATGACTCTTTCCCAGAACGTTTCCGTGAACTATTCAAAACTCAAGTAAAACTGAGAAACATGCATTTTAACAAAGACAGACCCATTGGCGATGAAAGAAACCCTGAATATATTACAATCCCATATGATGCTAAATTTATTGCATACATTCCTTATGGTCGCAGAGGAACGAAAACTCTTTCAACAAAGAACAAAAATTATTTCTGGAGCGATGAAGAAAATTGCCTTATCTACATAAATGCATACTTAAATAAAGCTACATATTGTACAAAAGAAGGTTGGACTGGATTTGAGCTCTACATATACGACGACGATGGAAACAGACGCCGTGTATACCCATACGATAATATGTACCATTGTTTTCATCAAGCATTAAACGAATACATAGTCAGTAAGGGTCTCATCCCTGTTGAGTAGATATGCTTTATTTTTGTTCCCACATTTATATAAAAATTAATGATATCACCACCCTCACACGTATGAAAACATAGCACAAAAATAAATTTAGGTGAAGTGGTGAGATCTCACCTCTTTTTTCACCCTGTTGAATTCATTGCTTTATAACTCTCTTCCTTTCTCCAACTCTTCTAACTTCTTCTTAAGTTCAGCAATGTTGTCCTCATGAAGTTTAATCTTTCTCAAAATTCCTTCTTTATCTAATGGTTGCTTTATCTTTCTAAACTGAACTCTACCATCCTTCATAGTATGAATGTAAAAACCTTCTGGAATAGTTCCTGATTTAATGTATTCTACCAAAAACTTTTGTTTCATTGCTTCAGTGACTTTAGTCGTCATTTCAATCAAATAAAAATTTTAATATTAAATAAAAATAACGTTATTTTTCAGTAAGGAAACGCAGGAGTTTTACGATTTATTTGAGGAGTAGGTTCTGGTTTAAATGTTGGAGTCGGTTTAGGAGTTGACTTTTGAACAGGAGTTTGTACTTCCATAGGTTCAGGAGTCATTGAAGGTTTTGCTTGTGAAGGTGTTGGAGTTTGTTTAACTTCAGCTACTTCAGTATTATTTACAACATTTGCTTTATTTCTTTTCAACATCATAACTGCTCCTGCTGTAGCTAGCAAACCTAGTGGGAGACCATATTTTATATAAGGACTTGACCAAATGCTATTTTTGACAGGAGCTGGTGGAACACCTAACCTTGGTGAGACTGCTCTTTGCCATTGTGCAGCTCGTAAGAAATATTCAATAGGTGCTCCATAATCGTTTGGTAAAGTTTGTTTCATAGATGGTGAAGGTTCACGAGAGCTTGATGAAGAACTCATTTATAAGCTTTAAAAATAAACGTTCATCCTTTATTCCTCACTGTCGTCCGTAGCTAAGTTATAGTCATCTAATCTTATTATTGGGATTCCATTAGCACGCACCTGAATGGCAAAGCAACAATCCCTCATAAATCCAATAAGTGGCTTTGGTACGTTTTCAGTTGCTAGTTCAATAGGTCCTTTAACAGACAATTTGTATGTTATTGGAGCAGTAGATGTTTGACCTTGCTGGAAGCAAAAGTCCACTTCTGTTGGAAAACCACATAAGAAATGTGTGTTGTCATAGCTATCCCATTTATGTTCCACACTACCATCATCCACCAATGACCTCATAACATCTTCATTAAATCCTATCATATCATTGTTTGTATTGCAAGCGTTCGCAACCATTTCATAAAATACAGGTCCATATGATTTTTCGGGTTCTGCAGGCATATTTCCATAAGCTCCCATGGAAAGCTGAAGATATTTAAACTTAGGGTTCTCAAAATTAACATAATAGTTGTCTTTCTTTCTAAATAGTGCCCAAATACTTTTAACATTAATAGGCGTATAAGCTGCTGTAAATGTTGCACTTGAACTATCTGTATTCTTTGAGAATGAACCGTCCATAGGAATCCAATCCATAACTTTAACAGGAAAACATAAAGCCTCGTTTGTATAATGTTCTACAAGTTCTGTATAAATGTTAGGGTCTAAAGAGAATGACTTTGGATGAATGAAACATTCATTAAAATCCATCTTTGTTCGAAATAGTTGCTGGGTTACAGTTGTAATAGTAACTGTTCCACTAGCTTCTATTGCCTTCGTTATCATAGTGAATGGTTCATTCCATGGAACAAATTTATTTGTCGGTGGATTTGAATCTGAAGCAAATGCAACTTTAAGAGTTGGATTGAAAGCAATGATATCATTTACAGATATAGATGTGCATTGTAAGGCGTCGCTACTGAACTTTACTTTAAGCTGAATGTTTCCTGCAAAAGCTGGAATAAATCGAATAGCTTCTAATGGAAGGAATCTTCTAACAGGAATTCTTAAACGAAGCTTAAAATCAAATGATTTTCCTGCTGTAATTGGACCACTAACAATTTGTCCTGTTCTACATGTTCCCGAATGACTCCATACATCTTCATGTCGAGTCTTTGAGAAAACATCTACTTTCTTTATTTGTTCGGTAGTTTGTGAGTTTGAAGTTATATATGCTTCTTCTCTTGCGTTGTCTTGAGAATATACGATACGACCATTTGCAAGGATTTGATATCCAGCAACTGCATAGAAAGCGTCATCGAAACCAATCCAAAATCCTGGTGGGTTTGTTTTATTGGAACCTGAACCAATTTCTTTATCTACAATAAATTGACCTTCCATTTTATACGTAATGAATGTATTGTAAAGGTCCAACATATTTTCACCAGGAGGTGAGAGATGGAATGTTACCCATGTGTTATCTTTAGCAGTTCCAGGTTGTGATGGAATCTTTGCGTCAGAATATTTTCTATTAGTGTCACCAATTTGAACTGCATTGTCTATGATATCGAAATATGAGCGAATCTGATGAATATGCTCTGCTGGAGTAAATTCGTTTAACTGTTCGTTCTGCATGTATTTACTTCAGATAAAAATATCTATTTACTTCATTATTCTCACTCTTCTTCTTGGCATTCGTGGTGGAAGTTGTTTCTTGACATTTTCAATGAACTGTGCATTCTCTTTTGTCTCAACTTCTTTCACTGGTGGGTCAGGGTTCTTTGACTCGGTTTGTTTTTCAATGAAATTCACGAACTTTGCAATAAGCTCTTGGTTCGTTATTGAAAGTACATCTGGCTTCTTTTCTTCTGGTTCTATTGACTTTTCAGTTTGAACAGAAGGTTTTATATGGGCTTCGTGGACTTCACCCTTATCATACACCTTAATGTTGTCGCTTTCTGCATTCGCTAATGGAACCTTTCTTTTTCTTACGTATATTTTACCATCTTTACTCTGACTTACGTAATAGAAAGGATGTTGTATTCCTCTTGCGTCATTTAATATAATAGACTCTCGCTCTGATTTTGACAAGCTCATTTTACATCGGTTAAAGTTTTAATTTTGTTTTTTATCTGCAGTCAAATGACTCAGACAAGCCCTACGGACAAGACCCAAGGGGTCATAGATGTTGAAGCATTGAAGAAAGAAATTCGTGAGCAAATTTTATCCGAACTGAAGGAACAAAAACAAGAACAAAAGCCAGAGAGACCAAAGAGAAAACTTAGTGAAAAACAACTTGCTGCATTAGCTGCTGGAAGACAAAAGAACCCACGTTTGCTGGCGAAGAAAGCTAGAGAAGAAGCAAAAGCTAAAGCTAGAGAAGAAGCTGAAGCAAAGAAAGAGTAAATGGTTTATTTTTATCCGAATTAAATGTATAGACAAATACCTTTATCTGTTGCGTTCAGTAGTGAAAACCCTGACGTCAAAATAAAGGGGAACAGAGTAACGTTTAAGTTTCCAACAGACTGGATTGTGAACATAAATGAAGAGAAGTACATTGGCATAACATCTATGTATATAACACGTGCTTTCAGAAAGGTTGACTTTATACTTCAAGTCGAGATAGAAAATGACGAACAGTCTTTAAGCGCCCAAAACATTCACATATACAAATACTTTAAAGACGATACAATATTGCAACAATGTATGATTTCATTTAATGAGATGTTCGAGAAAAAGTTCAACATTGAAGTACAAACTTTACAGCCTTTACGTGAGTTTCTTGCACAACTGAAAGAAGAAGGTAGTCAGCCACAACTTATAGACTTTCATTATGAATTTAATGAAAATGAAGATGGAACTCATTACTGTCAATTCATTGTATTCTCACCATTCAATGAAGTCGCTAAAAAGAAAAAAAATCCATTACGTATAAGATTTCAAATCTCTGAACCAAGTGATGATTTCAAAAATGTTTTCAATTATGATGCAATGCTTCCGAGGAAAAATGAATTTTCCGAAATTAGATTTCCAGGTATTTGGGATAGAAAGCAAGCTATATTATATTCAAACTTAAGTAAGGGAGTTGAAAATGAGTTCATTGGTCATACAAGAACTTCACCACTTCCTAACCCTAAATACTATAAATTAACTGGCTTCAATCGTGAGTTTTGGATAGACATGTTCTCCACTCATGACCATAAAGCACCTGTTTTGCTACCTCCAGACCATAAGGACTGTCTCTACATTGAAGCACAACTCTTAAACTCTACCATCGCAGTATTGTAAAATCTACGCTAGCGGCTTATTTTTATCACGAATGACCTCATTGCTGACAAAAATAAATGACCTCAGAACTTCAACTTACGAATAAAGCTTGTTTTTAGTCGTTATTGAGAAGTTAAACTTCTCTTCAAAGCAAGGTTGACATGACTTACATAAGTCAAATCCAATCTCTTGACCATCATGAAGTGCTTTGTAAAGTTTCATTAAACTGAACTCAGAGTCTTTGTCATATGTTTCCAACAGGTATGTGAATGTTTCTTTATCTTCATTGTATAGCATTGTATAGCTTCAGGAAACATTTCATTAGCTGTTAAAGCAAGGACGTCTTGTTTGACACCTTTGCAACGTGCATGAAATGCAACTTCATTTAAATCATTCGTGAGTAAGTCTATGTAGGTCTTCTTTCCACAAAATATTGACTTGTATGCTAAACTTTGTTTTCCAGGTGTTATTTCTGCGAAGTCAGAATGAAATTGACCAAGGTTCTTTCCTATAAGTTCGCGACCGTATCTCTTCTTAAACTCTGCTGCAAGCTTTGGTATGTCTTCATTGAAAATATGCATGCTATCACAGTCCTGGTAGAAGATTTGAAGACCCATATCTTCAGCAGTACAGAATACTTCACACATTATTCTCTTCGACATAGATAAGATATTAACACCAAGTGGACAGAAGTTAAAGTGTCTGCAAATGCTTTTCGTTAGCTTGAAAATAGTTTTATCTGAACCATCCAAACCTTCGAACTTCACTATATGGTTGTAGTTTTCTGATGGCATATCTTATAGCATCTTTGTCATTTACTATGGTTATTTTTGACTCAATAGGAGATAGAATAGTTTTGCCATAAATACTGTTGAGAATGAGCTTTATATTTTCTTGCAAAGGATTTCCTTCTTTCTTATACTTTAACCTTAACTCAAACAACTTTCTTTACTTCATCTCTTATTCTAATATCTCTGTTTCCATCGTAATAGTATCCTTGTAACACTCACATTTGACACCTTGATATTTTATGAGGTCTTGTAATGTTATATGGTCAACATACATTAAACAGCAAGTGTTTGAACTTCTGGGAACGTTAAGTTCTGGATTTAGTTCAGGGTCACAAACTATTAAAGGAAAGTGTCTATGTATTCCAATCTCTGTTATCTTAATGAGAACAAAGAAGCCGGACATAAACTTTTCACCAATGGGTTCCTTTTGGTCGTCATTGAATAAATGTCTCATGAGATACTCTGTGCTTAACATTTCTTTCTTCATAACCTTTGGAATACCTTCTAAAGTATAAAGTCTTGCTATAGCTGATGGATATAATGAAACAGCGTCGAAATCAGCAATGAGTTTCTCTTTACTCTTTTGTTTCATGTTATCTGACAGCATACATCTTCCACCTTGAATACAGCGTGAAATAAATTCTCTTGGTTTATTTGAGAGGTCATATAAATTTCCATTCGGAAGTACACTCTGTTCTCAAATAATTTGTTAGCAATTGAACAAATACTAACGTAGTCATAAACGTTTAAATCAAATTCTTTCAATATGTCATTGCGGAACTTAACAAAACCTTCTCTTAAAATTCTTACATCTTGTTTGCAATAAAATGTGCTATACTTTTCTAAGTCGAAGTGGTTCTCATCTATTCTGCAACCTTTGATGGAATCTATGTTTTTTCATGAAGTATCTGCATCCCGGATAAACTTACATGCTTCAGAAATGACACCAGTTCTGTTGTCATTTGCTAACAAAACACTGCTGTAGTAGTTGTATGGAAATACTTCTTTCGGTCCTGTTTGTAAGTTAAACATAGCAGGAAATAGTTTAAGCTTCTTATTTATAACACTGTAAGAGTCTTTTATAATAATTGCCCTTCCTTTATATAAGCCAGTTATTTGCATTGTTCGTGAACCTTTAATGATGGGAGTTCCTTTCACTTCTGTCATGTGTCTTAAGATGAAGTTTATGTCATAACTGAGGTTATGGAAATATATTAAACTCTTGTCAGGAAGTCGTTCCAAAAATTCTGTTGCACAGTTCTGACCCCAAATGCTTTCACTCACTGAACCATCTTCACTGTCATAACATATGTTAAAAGCTTTATGAAAGCCATCGGTACTGCACTCAAAGTCAGCAAAGAAAACGTGCTCAGGAATGAACTTGCACTTATTTTTATTTACTTCTTTTGACTCGGCTTTCTTCTTCAGTTGTACACAATACTTTGGAGCATATGTCAAATCTTTAAATGGTGCAAGGTTCTGTTTATATAAGTCAGTCGTATATGTGAAAAGTTCTCCATAAGAAATAGGTTCGAAATATTTGCACTCCCACAATGTTTTCATAACATCCCATAACGGTGTTGTTCTATCATAACGAACTACATATTTATCTTCTCTCTTTGTATAAATCTTCATTTGTTTCTCAATGTTCATTCCACCACAAGCTTTGAGAATTTCTTTGTAATTTCTGACGAAATATGTTGTCATTGGTAATCTTTCATTTAGCATGTAGTGGTCTTCAACAAGAAGTAAGTCAATAGTTCTAACAGTTTCACATTCTTTTGGTATGTATCTCTTTATTTCATTATGTCTTGAGTCATTGAAATAACCAATGGTAACATTAAATGCTATACCTGTTGCGTCAGAAATTTCTTGTACTTTACTTTGAGGAAAGTCTCTAACACGAATGACTTCTCTCATGTGGTCAATAGTTTCTTCATTTACTCCAGCCTGAATGCAAGCATAAACGAAACAATTGTCTTCTGTCATAAGTGTTGCAGTTCTTTTGTTCAGTTCATTGAAGATTTGGTAGCGCTCAAGATTTATAGGTAATGTGCAAAGATACTTCCAGAACTGACCGCTTCTCTTCTTATAAAACTTCTTTTCACCATTATCTTTCCAAAAGCTTTCTATAAGTGCTGGGTTTCCTGTTTGCTTAAGAGCTTCCAAAATGGCTTTCTGGTCATTTGTCAGTGTGCTTTCATCTCTATATGGTCTCTTTTTTGGTTTGCCTTTCTTTACATCTGACATCGTTAAGCCTTCATATTCTGTTAAATCATACATCTTTATTTCAGTAAGATTCTTTATGTTTGTCAAGAAGAAGTCATAGTGCATTTCAACAATACCTGCAGCATTTGCTTCTATCTCTGATATAAAGTTCTCCTTCAAGAGCTGATGTAGTAATGTTCCAATATTATTGAGGTTTAACGTAGAACATTCATACTTTCCACCAAGTTTATAACATACCATCCATCTTTGTTGGGAGTTTATTTTAATCTTCTCTAAGAGTCTCATGAAAACCTTACCGAAATGTTTGTGTAAGTAGTCTCTGTTTGGTTCATCTAAAGCTTCGATGTTAAAGTCAATGAGTCTATTGCCTGACTTCACATTTCTCTTCCTATTCTCTTCATCTTTCTTTAACCATCTCTCACCTTCTTTTGGTTTGTCGTCAATGGAACGAATGACATCGTTAGCTTTGCGAACTTGTTCTATAGCACTTTTAAACATCTCTCTTCTCTGTTGTTTCAGTGTGTCGTCTCTTCTTCTTGTTTCACCAACGTTTGCATTTGTTATGTCAAACATTTCTCTTCTTACTTCATGAGGTACTGAACGTCTATGATATAAGTCAATAGCAATGTCATTTAAAGGAAATGCTCTTGCATGGACTTCGTCCTCGCCGCGTTGCGGCTTTATGAACTCATGAATTCTATCATAACTTATTGCACCATTATAGTCATTGAGGATGTCAGCGAGTGCTTTTTTGTTTGTTGCGTAATGTTTTGCTACTTCTATGTTAGCTTCTGTAAGAAGTTGTTTTATTTCCGAGTGTTCTAACTTAGACAACTTCCGATACATCTTTAGTAGGAAATAAAAAAATATTTTTTGAAAAAATTAGATTAGATTTTTTAAGTTATTTTTCAAAATAATTTAATATTTTTATTTTAATGAAACACATGCAAGATTGCAAGTTCTTTTCATACAATGCTCTCGCTACTGCCATCAAGAATGAGTTCAATAATGCTTCAAATGTTAATGTTATCTTTAACAAGAAGTTTGTGAAAGAATCTAAGTTTGGTCAGTATGTCAGACCATTAGCTATCGTCATTGACCGCAAACGTTATACTTCACAAGAGTTAGCAGTAGTTTTGAAACAAAAGAGTTTCTTCGTGAATGTCAAAGATACACACTATACTGTTATAAAGAACTCTAACATTGACTTCTTCAGTATTGCTTTAAATCTTTCCGAACAGAAAGAATATAAGAAGGGTGAAACAAATGTGAAATATTATCCTTCATCTCTGAAGACAATAACGAACAAAGATGTTATACAGAAATTCTTACCAAAGGTTGAAGAAGCTTCTATTGACATTGACGAAGGAAGTGAAATGGTTGAAGAAATAGACCCTGAAGCTATTTAAGCAAAAATATATTTTTGAATAACTGATGGTGTCACTACGTCACCATGTCACCAGGTTAATTAACTTCTCTGAAAAATGATGACAACATGACATTTTGACAACATGGAGAGATTAATGCAAAAATGAATGTTATCGTTTATGTTATCGTTAATGTTATCGTTTATGTTATCGTTAATGTTATCGTTAATGTTATCAGTGTCGAACATAATTGACATGGAGCATTTATGTTATCGTTAATGTTATCGTTAATGTTATCGTTAATGTTATCAGTGTCGAACATAATTGACGTAGGATTCATGACTTCTTCGTAAATGAGTGTAAATATAGCACAAAAATATATTTTAGGTGAAGAGGTGAGATCTCACCCGTTTTTTCACCTCTTTTTTCACCTCATTCTCTCTTCGTTAATGTTGTCGTGACTTCATCATTAATGTTGTCGTGACTTCATCATTAATGTTGTCGTGACTTCATTCTTCCTCTTTGAAGTTATCGAAATATTCTGTTATTTTTTCCTTCAGTAATGTTAAGTCTTCTTTGAATGTAAGTATTGTGCAACCTTTGATGTCATAGTGTGTTTGAGGAAGAGTATTTTTGACAATTTCCTTTATTTGCTCATTCGGTGTCATTGAAATCGGTAAGTTTTCACGATAGAACCAGTTTCTGTCAGATTTATATATTTTAGCTAAGTCATAAAAGCTCTTGTTGTTTCTTCTGACTAAATGCAACATAACCATATCTTTATCTTCTTCTTTCTCCAATTCTTCAGTATATATCATATACCTATAACTCTTTTCCTTTCCTTTTGGTACTGAACGCGGTATTCTTTTCTGTATGCTTTTGTCTTTGGATTCAATGACTTCATCTTTTGCTTTATATAGTTCATCTAACATCATGAAAATATAACAAGCATAACGAGGTGAAGCCCACATTGCTACAGCGTTTACTAAAAGTCTATGAACATAATAACCTTTCAAACAAGGAGCCAAATTCTTGCGATTTTCATACGGAATCTCTTCATTCTGCAAAGCAATCATATGAGGAAATTCTTCTAAAAGTTCTTTTGTCTGTTGGTTTTCAAACCAATGATATGCTTGCTTTGTAGAACGAAGAGCATTCATTATACTTTGCATTTGGTACATATCGTCTTTGACTGAACGAATGAGACGTAACTGTTTGTTATACTGTATGTACTCGTATTCTTCATTTATGGCTTCATGAACGATAGCAGTTGTTGTGTTCTCTGATGTTGACATTACTGTCTTTACATACAAGATAAAAATTTTTGTTAGGAAAAAATTAGCGTTATTTTCTGACTTTCACAAAAGACAAAAATAAACGCTTTACATGTATTTTTCAGCAACTTCGTCAAATAATTTTATAGCTTTATCTATCTCATCTACTTCAAACGTTTCTTTACCTTTTATGGGAGCACCATACATTTTCTCAAACTTTTCGAGTAGTTCTGTTTCTGCGGCTCTCATATCATTAACGAACACAACCTTGACTCTATTGACTGTACTGTCATATCTTTGAGTTATATTATATGTTCTTCCTATCTTATATCTCTTTGTATTGAAGTCCTTCGGTTTCTGAACGATGTAAAGTAAGCCTTCACTGCAACGTTCTGAGTCGAATGAACCATAAGTTATGAAGTTATATCCAACAACAGGGTCAATCCACAGAAGAATTATTGGTATAAGACTTTTGTCAATGAGATATGCTGTAGTTCCATAGAATCTTACCGATATCATGAGCTCAGGATTTCTTGTCAAAATTTTCTGAGTAGAAGCAATTCTAACCCAGTCCTTTGTTTTCTTTCCAGAAGGTGTTATAATGTCTGACAAAGAATATTTGTTGTATTTCTTACAGTATCTTACGTTTAAATCACCAATTCTAACCACTTTGGTGTCATTGTCAATCTTTCTTACTGTTTCAAACTCAATGTTTGACATTACTGTCTTTACATACAAGATAAAAAAATAAATAAAAATAAAACTAACTTTATTTTTATCTTTTATGAAAATTCATGAAATTTGGTCATTTTTCAGCAAAAATAATGTTTAGGTGAAGAGGTGAGATCTCACCCGTTTTCTCACCTGTTTTCTCACCTGTTTTTTCACAAGCGTTTTACATGAATTGTACGATGTATATTTGAAATCCTAAACAATTTCGTAGCTTCTATTTCTTCTTTTAGTACATCGAATGTTTTAATCATGCCGAAAGTCTCTTTATATTTCTTCTTGACGTCAGACAGAAGGAAATCTTCTGCTGTTGGATAGTTTTTATTAAGAAATGTCAACATATCCATTTTATCTTCTGCTGGCTTTTCTGCTTCTTTCTTTAAGTCTGCATAGTCGTTTCGCATTCTTTCTATCTCTTTGACTGAGTAGTTATATTTTCTTATTGCTGCTTTACATTTTGAACATTGCGGCATCATTTTTGCGTTATACATTGAAATAAAACCAGCTAGAACAACTAAGGCGTCAATGGTTTTCTTTAACTCAAAAGCTGCTGGTTTTATCTGTTCATTCCATACTTTACCTCTTCTATCTTTATCTCTTATCTGCCATACACATTCTGCAATTAATGAAACAAAGTTGTCGTATGTCTTAAATTCTTCGGATTTGGAAAGGTCAGAAATATTTTTATAAACCATGTCGCAATCTTTGTCCATAACTTTATGGTTGCAATGATATCCTAGAAACTCATAGTTTACCTTTCGTATGAACTTCTTTATTTCTACTGAGTCAGTTGCTTTGACTTCAATTTCGTCAAATTCGGGAATGGTTAGTTTTTGTTGCTGAATTTCAGGTAGTTTAGGTAAATGGTCGATGAGGTCCTGCATGTCATAAAGATATTCTTCATTTTCTTCATCCTGTGCGGTACAGTCTAAATTACTTGTTAACAGTTCTTGCTTTATCTTCTGGATTTTTGTTTCGAAAGTATATGAAGAAGGAATGAAGTTTTTCATCTCTACCAACATTGACGTAGGATTCATGACTAGCGAGTTTGGTGCTGTAGTTGTGGCTTGAATTGCTGTTGTGCCGATTGTTGAAATCATATCTTTACATACAAAATAAAAAAAATAAATAAAAATAAAACTAACTTTATTTTTTCTATCTTAAGGAAATTCATGAAATTTCGTGAGGGTGAAAAAAGAGGTGAAAAAACGGGTGAGATCTCACCTCTTCACCTAAAATATATTTTTGGTGTAAATTTATGACAAAAATAAATGGTACCATTAATGATATCATGACTGTTCTCATTCATGTCTGATTTACATCTAATGAAAAAGTTTAGAAGAATTTTCTTATTCTTTCTGGCTTATTTTTGTCTTTCCAGTACTCCCGCTCTAATGGTCCCAGATGTGTTGTCTTTGACTCTCTCAAGTTCTTAGATGGTATAACATCTTCAACGCCTCCTTCATATCTTACTTTATAAGTGTCATCGTTTATGTTGTAGCCAAGTATTTCAATAACCACTCCTCGCTTTGCTTCGTCAATGGTTTCAGCAAGTTTGCCATTACTACTTTCAACTAATTTATGTCGAGGGTAAAACGCAATAGAGTCGTCAGCAGCTTTTATAAGATATCCATTACCTTGCGTAGAGTCTACGATATAATAGTTTCTACTTAACCTTAAACGTTTCTTTGTCAACGGCTTGTCGTCAAGAACTACACGAACTTTTGTACCAGGAATGAGGGTAAATTGTGTTGAATTTCTGATATTTTGTGTTTGGCTTCGTTTCTTTTGTATATACTTTTCTTCTTGTTGTTGTGTCATTGAATTTGGTGTATGTCCTGTTGTAGAATGTGTTGAGGAATTATATACTTCGAGAAAATGTTTCATTGTTTCTTCAGTAAAGTCTCGCTCTTGTTTAAATCTCTGAGCGTTCTTATGAAGCGGTTTATGATGCCGAGTATGTTATGGTTATGGTCTTCAGTAGTGTAGTGAGTTATGTTATGCTTAATGAGAAAATCTGTGATTTCATTGCTGAGGTATGCTGAATCTTGGTCTGATGTTAAAGTACTTGGGCTATGTTCTGCTACAAACTTTTGTAAAACTCTTAACACTTCACGAGTTCCTTTATTTTTCATTGGATATGCATATGCTTTACGAGTGTTAACATTAATGAAGATGAGGAATGGTTTATGTCCTCCTTTTCTGCTTTGAATGAGAGTGTCAAATTGGTATGCGTCAGGAGTGTTGGAGTAAATTGGTAAAAAGTAGTCGTAAGGGTTTATTTTTGTTTGATGTACAACATTTTTGTCAAAGAACCTTTTCACTTCAGCTCTGTTAGTAAATCCCCAACTCTTTGCAGCTTCATTGAACTTCTTAAATGACCTCCATGGATGTTGTTCGAATACTTCTTTCAAGCTCATTTATGTAAAGTTAAAGATTTTATTCAAGGCTCAAGCGCGTTCAATGAACTCTATACCATGCGAATACAGTCATAAATGGTGGCATATAATCTTCACCCGAGCCTGTTGGATTTGTTGTGAAAGTGTGTGAATGATTTCCTGTGGTTCCACAGAAAATACCTGCGCTTGAATCTACTGGGTCACTTGAAATATCATATCTATGCATTCCCTGTCTATCCGAACCTGCTGCAAGATTTGTATAACCTCTTTTTGTTATTGAATGTGAATGACTACCTGTTGTGTTTGTAGTTCCTGTATGAGTGTGCGGTGGAAGGTTTGCTTCTTTAATTTTCTTCGAACCTCCTGTTTGCTTTGAAGAGTTAGCACATATAAGAATTTGTCTACAATCTGCCCACACCAAAACCCAAACTGTTTCTGGATTTGTTGAGTTCATTGACGTATAAATAGACCTATAGGATATAATGTTTGAAGTATTTCAGTCTTTAATGTTTGAAGCTCTGTTTTGTCTGCTTTCTTATCATATAAATCTTGAGCAGTGAATTTAACATTATTTTCACCCATGACATAAACATTTTTACAGCTAATTTTTTTTCTTCGTTGTTATGTTTTCATTCGATGTTAAACCTTGTGGAAAGTTAGGAGGTTTATAATATAATGCATCCCCATCAGTTCCGTCAACCGTTCCTTCAATACTTTCTATAGCAACAGTTGAGAAGAAGTTATGTGTATGTTCTTTATCTGCTTTACTGTCTAACATTGCTGGTAGTTCATGTGTTTCAAAGTTTCTGACATGACCTTCGATATTAGTGCATTTGTTATTTAAGGAGTTTAGTGTATCTTTTACGCTTGTACTTGGATTCTCTAAAGGTGCACTTGAACCAAGGGTATAGTTCAATATTATGTCGTCTGCTCTAACAGTAGTGAAGGATTCATGTGTATGGTTCTTGTCAGCTTTACTATTTAATGTAGCTTGAAGTTCATTTATATCGGAGATGTTGTGTTTATGAGATTTCAAAACTTTGTTCATTGCTTCAAGTTCAACTTTGTCAGCTTTACTTTTAATAGCATCTTCAAACGTTATTTTTGACTTAACTCTCAAAGTAAATCTTGGTTCAACTAATACACCGTTAACATTGAAAGTAGAGGCATAAATTTCATCGTTATAACTAAATGCTTCTTGTGCTTTACCTGTGTCATACTGTACAGTACAGCTTATGTCATAACCTTTAGCACGAATGTATTTATATCTTCTTTCATTAACATCTTCAGTGCTTATTTGTTCATCCTGTGTTAAATATCCATGGTAGTCCGTTATAATCTGTTCGTCTGAAGTTATATAATGAACGTGGTTCTTGACTTTATCACTCAGAGCTAAAAGCTCATTTTTGTCTGCTTTTTCGGCTAATTTCTCATTAACATCATTCACTTCTAATTCAACTCTTCCGCCAGAACTCTTATTATCATTAATCTTTTTCATTAATTCGGTAATTACGTCATAAAGACTATATT